GTTGCGTGTCAACGTGGACAGGCAAGCATTGCATCGTTGCATATGAAATTGTATCGTATGGTAATATGATACGATAATATGTAACAAATGGATACGCACCTTCATATATGTACTGTAAAAATACATATAAATTTAGTCGCTGCAAAATTTCTATAAGAAATTCGCATTTTCAGCACTTTTCGGAGTTATTAATTTTGTCCAATCAGAATTTTCAACCGAAACATGTATTGGGTAGCGCTGATTTAAATATCGAATTTAAGGATATAGGCTACTATCAAACAATTTATATCAGTACTAGTTCTACTACACATTGTACCGTCGAGCATTTTCTAAAATTTGAAACCATTTTCGAAAAAAATTAAAAAAACCTTATGCAAATATAGCTCCCCATTTTGTGAAAAATTAAAAAATAATTATTGTAATAGTTGGTACTAGTTTTATACCACGTTTTACCGTTGAGCATTTTCTAAGATTTGAAACCGTTTTCGAAAAAAAAATGGAAAAAACCAATTGCAAAGTTAGCCCCTCTTTTTTAAAAAAAAGTCGTTTTTCTCGATTGTACTGCATTGTACTAGTTGTACTGAACATTGTACCGTTCGAAAAAATTAATTAACAACATTGGTTTCCAAAAAAAAATTGTAAAATAAAAAATATTACGAGCAATTTGTTTTTTCCATTTTTTTGTCGAAAACGGTTTAGAATTCTAGAAAATTCTCAACTACGAAATTGTTTTGTTCTCGGCGAGCAACTGTTGAGTAGAATATTATTGAATGTCGCAAGTTGCTGTCGAGAGTATTTCTCGCGTGTGGATCGCTCAATTGTATGTCAACTGTCTGTGTGTTTGTTGTATGACGTGACAATACTTTCGAACGCAACTCGTGCGAGATACTCTGAAGTGGATGGCTGCCTTGATGGGCAGAGTTGGGCAGAATTTTATTTGAATAATACACAGTGAAAATTAGCAGTATCTAATGGTGTCGTCCTGAGCTTTAAACAGTTAATGGGATTAAATAATTGTTCGACAAATGTACATTCATTCATAAAAAAGTATTATTTTATTATAAAAATTGAAATTTCCACGTTTAAACAATTAAATATGACGAAATACTTTTTTTTTTATCTTTTATTCGTTATTCAAAGTTTTTATCTAGATAATTAGTTTGCCCATCTGTGCTTTCATGGACATAGGAATAAAGGGACAGAGCGTAAGTCGAGTGGGGTAGAGCAACTTCAGGGGAACGGGGAAGACGGTGACGTGGTACTCTGGTGCTACATTAGCGATTGGTTGTGATCGTAGTTAGAAAACTATATGTCTGAGCAAAACCCACTCGATACACATATAATTCATTTAATACGTTCTATTTGTAATAGATACATTAAAATAAGGTTTTACTATATTATGCAGCAATCCATTAACAAATCAAGTAGCATGCGACAAGTATTCAATAAGTCAATTTTGTTTAAAGGCCAGTAACAGGTTTAAAATGTATCACCAATATTTAGGTTTAAATTAATATGTTATAATAAAATTTGTAATATTTCATTATAAAACTGTGTCCAATATTTAATATTTCCACGGGGTCTAGTGATATGTTATTACAAAATTTGTTAAATCGCATTCTTAAGTGCAGAAAAGTCAAAGATAATCTAGTTATTTCTATTTCTAAATAGTAATGTTTCATTTACTTACAAATCTCATCAAATAATAATACTGTAAAATTTACTGAATTCATTGCGTAGTTGCAAAAATTAAATACCAAACAAAAACAATATTTTTCGTATCTATAGATTCGAATTTGAACCATTTAATTCTGACATCTCGATGACATGCATTTATATGATACCATTAATATTTCAGTATGTTGATTTATAAATAAAACACTTTGTTTCTCTGTTTTACTGAAAATATTCTATCGTACACTTATAACTGTCAAGAAACTAAAGGTCACAATCTTGAAATTTCGCGCATTTATGCTCCAACCAATCACCAATGTGGCACCAGTGCATCACGTGATCGACCCCCCCCCCCAGTCAAAAATCCTAGTTACGCCAATGGAAACAATCAAACAACCTCAGTGGACTCGTGCTTTATACTGTATTTGGGGGCGTGGAGATGGCGGGGGTGGGGTGGGGGTTAAAACAACACTGTTAGTTAAATGGTATTCTTGTGTCATTGATTATATATCCAGATATAATTCACATATGTCCCCCATGTTCTTAACCGACGCAACAACAACTGTATGATTTGTCCTTCCATAATTCTATACGTATCATTATGCTAAAGATATGGAAACTACCGGTGCAGTGAATTAAAGCTTGGGCAATAAAAGAAGTTCGTAACGGCCATGAAGAATGCCTCTATCGGCGGTGAGTCATGGAACGAATGGAATCAATATTGCAAATAACTTCGTGACATTCGTTGTTAGTGTTGCCTGGCGTGTAGCAATAAACTACGGTTCGGCGAAGCGATGACGCGGATGCTTACTACGGTTTTTAACCGAACTTCATGGCTTATAGCGACCTAGGACTCTGGAATCATCGCGAAATCTCATATTGGGATGTAATCAATTTTTTCGTTACGATTTATTTGGTGTACGATCTATCGCTAGAGTCGCTGTTACTGCATTGAAATTCGTTTTAAGAGGTACGGATACCGACTGACTAGTACTCGCAGGCTAGTACTCGAATGAAATAGCTGAGTACTCAAAGTACTTGAATACTGAACATAAAAGATGTACTCGAATTCTTGTGTATTTAAATACTTAATTGAACACTGTAACTCTTCAAATACTTAAGTACTGACGCGGGAAATGTGCACGATTGATTGAATACTGAAACAGTCAAGTATCTGAATATTTGAACGGTGATATAACTTTGTACTTAAATACTGGAGTAACTGAGAACCCGAGTACTTGAATACTGGAATGACCAAGTACACGAAAACCTGAATACTGGTATACCTGAATATATCCAAATCGTGAATAACTGAGTAGTGTAATGCTTGAGTACGGAAAATCCAGATATTGTAATACTGGGAGATCCAGATACTTGAATAACTGAATTCCAAAATACTTGAATGCGTGGATATGTGACTACTAGAGAATACCTGGGTACTTAAATATGGATATGCTTGAATACTAGAATACTTAAATTATCAAATAACTAAATACCTGAATACTGAATTTAATTACTCGAGTACCTAAATATTTAAATACTGGAATTAAGTACTCAAAATCCTAAATATCAAAATATAAGGAATTAAGTACCGAAATTCGTATATATCCAAATACTGGGATTCAGTACTCAAATCCCTAAATATCTAAATACTGGAATTAAGTACTCAAATTCCTAAATATCTAAATACTGGAATTCTTAAGTGTTCGAATGGCTAGGTATCTGAGTATCATATTTTCCAAATATCCAGAAAAAAATATACAAGTACTGAAATACACGAGTACTTGAATATTTATTAATACGTAAAATATGCAAGTATTGAAATATAAATGGGAATAAAAAGTATCTGTGCATATGACTTGACACTAAAAACAGACGAACGTTTGGAGCAATAAACGCCCACCCTCGTTTATGCGCCCATTTCACTTATTTTGTACAGATATTAAAATGTTCACACCGATACCTCTGTAGTCGAAAGAATACTGCAAGTAATTTACGCAGATAGCTTAATCGATATCGTAGAAGTTACGTTAGTTTATGACATAGTACAAAGTTCCATCGTTATCGTATTAAGCTTTGCAACAGAGGTGCTACTTTAACTGGTTCCAGTCTATTTTTCTCAATTATCTTAACTGTCAGCCCAAATTAATATTTAAATGTATTATTTACTCGATTCGTGTCTGTATTTATTAAGTTATAATTAAGTTTTGCCTGGGATTACTAAAATTTATTAAATAATATTTAATTCAGTACAAATCATTCGTTCCACAAATACTTGTTAAGCAATAATTGTAATACTATGAAATACGAATATATATAAAAAAGTTTAACCATCAGTTCAAAATTATAAACATTGAAATTCATGACATATAAAATATTCAACACAGAAAAAATGCATTTAATTTATTTTGTATTGTAATTGTATTTTATCCTCTGAATTGATACAAATGAATTTTTAAGTGAAAAATATAACCAGAAAACGTTTAAATTTGATGTTGTTTGTGAACTGTAGTTGTGTTGCCAAAAACTAACGTAATTAATAAAATGAAAATAGATTAGAATGGAAATGGTAAATCAATCATTGCGGCAAAATGAGTAATCTAATTCGTTTAAAAATTCATTTTTGTGATCAATATGTTTCAAGATTACTGGGCTTTTACGAAATTAGGTCGCGTGAACTTGTAATCAATTTAAAACGAGGAACATAAACGTCATTTACTACGGTCGCAATATATATTTCATGTTCTGGAAATTGTGCTCTAACACCCATTTTTTATTGTCCCTGATGGTATCTTATTAATAAATTAATGAAAACATACGTATCTTCAGTGTTTCTATTCAAAACATTTACTTGTGTAAACGTATTTACGGTGTATTTATTTCATTATACAGGGTGATTCCCCTAACGTTGCCACATAACTTACTTGTAAACTGTTTGTTATATGAACAAATGCTTCAAACAAAAGTTGCATGATATCAAGGGGGACACACAATATAATAATTATTTTCTTGCTGTTTTGCTTTTTTATCGAAATACAAAGGACACCTTGAGCTTTTGTATCGTAATGTGTAAAATTTAACCCCGTAATCGGAAAGAATATTGAATGTTGAATAAAAAACTATTAGCGTATATGAGTCCAAAGACCAATAATTACAAAGATATTTTTTAAACGATTTTTCATGTAAATAATGCTCAGAATGTTGGTCATTCCAGGCAATGAATCAATACAAGTGCACTATTGTGATTTTTAGTAATCACGATAATTCGAAAGAATTTTTTTGACCGATTTTTATTGACGATGTGTCGAAATTTTTTCTTTCTCCAGATCAACAAAATGGATCGCAAGTGTTCGCGGAGGCTGATGCTCGAAATACAGGAAAATGGCGGGGGGAGGCTGGGTTGCTGGCGACCCCACCGAACGGTTACTTCCCGCAGCAGAACGTCGGCCCGGTTAAATTCGAAGTACCAAAAGTACCTGTTATATTCGTACTCGGTTTGTATCAGTTTTTTAATGTTTTCTTTTCTGTATTATGTGTATATATTAATACACCATTCTACGGATATTTTAAGTCTGAGGCGCCTTTAAGCCGTCTTTAAGGCGTCATGTGCTATCATCTTGGATAGAGTGTACCCAGATAGCACACGACGTCTAATGACGCCTTGAAGACGGCTTAACGGCGCCTTAGGCGTCATTGTAGTCACGAGTAACTTCGAAAGAAATGTTTATAATAATGGTTTGTGTATTTCAGGTGGTCCGGGTAGCGGAAAGGTGACACATTGCGATAATTTACTGCAGGAAAAGAAGGGCATCACGCACATTAATATGATGGACCTTCTTCAACAGTACGCTTTAGGAAACGGTGTGTAGACTAAATGAAAATTGCAATAGTCCTAAATTCCAACGTAACATCATTAAAACTGCCCACTGATAGAATAACCGATAATTGGAACAGTCCCAGATAGTACATGACGTCTTAGACCTAGAATAGCCGTAAAATAGGCGTCTTTAAGGCGTCATGTGCTATCTGGGGTCATAGGATAATTCTTATTTATTTAACCTAAATTTGTGATTATATCCTGGATTTTATGCGTTTCCAATAGGCGAGAATCCGGAAAACTTGTCACGATGAAATAAAAATATAATTAAGATAAGTTAATAATAGTTAAGATAAAAAGATAATTCATTCAATTTTTGTTTTATTTGTCACATAAGGGAATCTGTAATGAACGAAGCAGATTCTTGTTCGATGACATAAACGTCCCAGATAGCACACAGACGGCTTAATGACGGCTTAAAGGCGCCTCAGACCTAAAATAGCCGTAAAATGGGCGTCTTCAAGGCGTCACGTGCTATCTGAGGTTAATTCAACCTTACGATTAGTTAAATATCATAATCAATTGAATAAGTCTAGAAAAATGTAAATTTTCCAGTACCCAGATAACACATGATACCTTGAGGACGCCCATTTTACGGCTATTTTAAGTCTAAGGCGTCTTTAAGCCGACTTCAAGGCGTCATTGGGCGTCATGTGCTATCTGGGTATATGTTACATATTGGTGTTACATGTTTATTAATCACAAGTATGCGTTGTTGTATGTTTATTAATCGCAGATATGCAAGATTTCGGGCAGCTTAGTAGTAAAACGGTCGCGGAGGTCCTGATGCTAGAGATAAAGATGTCGCCTGGGTCCAAAGTCTTTCTCGTCAGTGGATATCCGCGTAACATGCGCGACGTAGTCGAATACGCCGAAAAGGTGAGTCTTCTGATCTTCTAAAGCTGCGTCTCCACTATGTAGCAAAATAGTGTTATACAACAAATTGTTTTATCACTATTTTTTTTTTTGGTTTGTTATTAGCGAATTACGTATTTTTCATACGATTTTCGAGTACACAAAATGAATATTTCAATCGACATTCAATAAAATTTTTTCTTTCATGTCGAACTTCACATACAGCCTATAACAAAAAAAAATAAATATCCGTCCAATTCCTATTTATGTAAAATAATTTGGAAACGCGGTTTTAGGGCCTCAAAATGGCATAACGGTGCACGTTTGCCACAGAAAATGCATTTTCTTAATTATGAAAATTCTTACAGAAAATTTAAAAAAATTGATTCTGGGACCATGGTTAACTGTCAGCTGTAAATTAATAATTCACTGTATATATATGTATATATATATATTTTTTTTTTCAGATAAAAATTGTAAACGGTGTGATCCTGGTCTCGTGGAGGCAGGAAATTCTCGAGAGGCAAATCGACTTCGGGGCGCAACTAGGGCAGGTGGTGATCGAACTGGCCAGAATGGAACTTTATAATTTTTATAGGAACGTTATGCCAGTCGCGGAGTACTTCGATCAAAGTGGAATGTTAGTCGAGGTAAACGGAGTTTGTAAAACCTGAAATATCGGTTTTAAAGCTGGTCTTCTTATACAATTTTTACGATTTCACAAGATTCTGCAGAGAGTAGAATAATCAACGAAATATTTTACATAAATCACTCAAATATCGATCATAGATCGTGATCGATCTTTATAGACTAGTTGCCAGAAATTAATTACGTCATTGAAAATTTTAATACATTCCTTAGTCTTTATTACTAAAATGTCATTAATTTTCAATCGAAGATAATAATTACTAATTAAGTATTCGAATAGATCCCTCAACTCTCGCGTTCCTATGCCCAGGTCACCGGTGATCCATCGATAAGCTACAGTTATCGAACTTTTTATACTACTGTGATCAAAAAGTAAGGTGAATTTGTTTATAAAATGTAAATTCTTTATTTATTCTTCCAAATCAATTTCATCCCCTTCAAAGTAATCCCCGTCCGATAAAACGCACTTTTCCCAACGCTTTTTCCAGTCCTCGAAACAGTCGGAATAGTCTTTTTCCGGTATAGCCTTCAAGACCTTCTTCGATTCGGTTTTTATCTCCTCAATCGTGTCAAAACGGCGTCCCCGCATTGGCCTTTTGAGTTTGCTGAATAGCCAGAAGTCGCACGGAGCCAAATCAGGCGAATACGGTGGTTGCGGAACGATATGAGTCGAGTTTTTGGCAAAAAAGTCGCGCAGAACCAATGCAGTATGACATGGTGCATTATCGTGATGAAGGAACCAAGAGTTGTTCGCCCATAATTCACACCTGTAACTCGGAGATAATTAAACCTTTTGACAAAGAGACGCTTGGCAAATGTCATAGACAGTCCTACCAACGTAGGAAAAAAAATTTACCTGCCTTCCTAATGCCCGGGAGTTTTAAATGACAATTTCACCTTACTTTTTGATCACAGTAGTACATCGATAAAGCGAATATTTCGAGATTTTCATATGGGTCATGATTGACCCAGCCGCCGTTTTCGACGGTTTGTACTCTAAGGGTTAATTTTTATGACTAAAAAATTATTATTTTTTAATGAAGGGTAATATAATTACTAATTGACAGTTCCTAGTAGATCCCTTGACCTTTATTGGTGAGAAAATCGCGTGAAATCGAAGGATTTATCAATAACTTAAATGAATCGAAATCGAAATAAAGGGTTCGAAATATCTCTCTTCGGGAATTTATTCTGAAGAACGATGATACTTTTTCGGAGTGAGTTCCTCGTGAAAAATAAAATAAAATTCAAGAAATATAGAGGAAATTTTTTCCGAATCTTCCACCGAAACCAATATGACGGGTCAAAAGCATACTTATTCCATACATAATAGGTTATGTAATGAGAATTGCTCATACAAATAACAAAATAAATTATTGTTAATTGCTAGGTGAACGGGGAAAGAAATCCAAATGAGGTTTACGTCGATTTTCGCGAGGCGGTTTTCAAGATACTTGGCCTACCGGCGACTGTCGAGCCGAAGAAAAAAAGTGCTCTTCAATCCTTAGAAGCAGAGGTATTATGCTTAGAATACTTCATCATTGATTCTTACTGCATTATCATCTGTTTTCCACAGTACAAAGTAGTACAAGTATTTTTCAATTTCTCCAACGAAAATGAATTTTACTATGTCACATAGTTAATTAATTAATTAAGATTAAGTGTACCAATAATCCATTTTTTTTTAAATATACATAGGCTACTGGTGTTCGACAAATTTACACATTTATACACTAATTTATATAATTTATAACTCAACGATGATATATTATTTATCTGAGGTGTAATTGTAAATGCTTATTGTTAGTATATTTATACATTTAATTTGTAAACTTTGATAAATAAGAAAGGAGTGACTGTATTAATAATGGGCGATACAGTATCGATTTTTCGATTCTTTTCAATTCCAATATTCATACTTAACTCCTAAATATCGAAATTTCGATACAATCGCTGCATTTGCGATAACATAACAATCGTAAGGAAAATTGACCGATCGCGAGCTTCACATAAAGTTTGCAATAGTTCGATTTCTTTTCCACAATGTTACCTGAGAATCTGCCTTAGTAAATATCTGCTTAAATAAATTATTTATTTTCATTTCCGTATTTTATTACTTCTAATTTAATTACAAGTATTGATACGGATATCATCGATATTTTATTCCCGATATACATCCCAGATAGCATATGACGCCATTTGAAGACGTCCATTTCACGGCTATTTTACGTCTAAGCCGTCTTTAAGCCGTCTTCAAGACGTCATTAAGTGTCATGTGCTATCTAGGATGTGTATCCATACCAAATATCGATACAATTCAAATGTATCGCCATCACTGGTCTGTGTTACATTTCATTGAAGCATTTAATTCATTGTATTATTCTTATACTGTCTACTAATAGAAAAGCAATATACATAGCTGAAACTAAAAATTACTTGGTCACAGTATATTGTTCTGTCAGCACAGATTTTTTTTTTACTGTCTTCAAATGCAATACTCAATTTAGTAGATCATAGCCCAGATAGCACATGACGCCCAATGACGCCTTGAAGATGGCTTAAAAACGCCTTAGACCTGAAATAGCCGTAAAATGGGCGTCTTCAAGGCGTCATGTGCTATCTCGAAATGAATCGCTTATTGACACATCCAATATGAGCAATAATTATTTCAACATGTCGGATATAATTGCAGGTAGAGGTAGAAAGGCGAAAAGAAATCAAGTCGAAGACGCCGCTCCTGCCAAAAAAGGAGGAACCAGCGGAAATGGCGCAACCGCCGGTCGTGACGCAACCGCCGGTCGTGACGCAACCGCCGGTCGTGACGCAACCATCGGTCGTGATCAACAACGAGGAGCCCTTGAAAACCGCGAATAAACCTAGAAAGGGATTGCCTTCGTTTATATGGGTGATAGGTAATTTTTAAACATTTCAAAAATTAATTTAATTTTCACTTTATATAAAACAAAAAAATGGAAAGAATTGTATGAAATTAAATTTAAACTCAAATTGTTTATAAACGTCGGAATTCTTTTTGTTTCATCAGGATCTACATATACAAGTAGAACTTCACTATCTATTCAGAAAATGTTGCTGTACTCTTATGGGCATAGCTAGATTACAAGTTTGGGGGGAGGGGGCAAAATTAATTTTAAGCTAAATTTCATAATATTAGTTTAAATGCATTTTAGACTTAGTTTTACATACAAAATATTAGTTAATATAATATTTTTCTCCTCTCGGGAGGGGTGGGGGGTCCAATATTTTCCTTTAAAGTAGGGTAAATGCCAGTTTTTTCTCTGGGGGAAGGGGGGCAAGTGCCCCTCCCTTCCCAGGTAGCACATGACGCCTAGTGACGCCTTGAAGACGGCTTAAAGGCGCCATAGACTTAAAACAGCCGTAAAATGGACGTCTTTAAGACGTCATGTGCTATCTCTTATCCGAGTCTAATTAATGTAGTACACCGGCCAGGGTCGAATGATACGAATTTACAGCGCTTTAATGACATAGCACATGACGCCTTGACGACGCCTATTTTACGGCTTTTTTAAGTCTAAGGCACCTTGAAGCCGTCTTCAAGGAGTCATGTGCTATCTGGGAAATGATTTTGTAATTTAAAATAGGAAGATGAAACGGTTATCCTTTGTTCAGGTGGCCCAGGGAGCAACAAAGAGAAGTTGTGCGCCCAAGCTGTTCGGAATATGCCCGGCTGGGTGCTGGTCAGTGTCGGTGTTCTGCTCAGAACAATGGCATCGACGAACACCATCGTCAAGGACGCAATCGTTTCCGGCGAGCTGGTCCCGCAGGACATAGTGATGCAAGTTCTCGAACAGCAGGTCCTTTTGAACCGTGACACGGATGGCGTGATTATAGACGGCTATCCCAGGGACCTGAATCAGCTTCACGAGTTTCAGAGCAAGGTAGAGCACGAGAAACAAAGTAATGATTTGTCTACCACAATTCAATGAAAATGGATTAACACTTAGATATAAGAAGCCTATTAATTTACCATAGATCGGGCTTAAAGAAGAAATTGTTACCTTATTCTGTCAGAGTTCTTGCAATTTTTCATTAACCCTTATCTGTCCCTTGTGTCAATTTGACACAGTTCTCTCCTAAGAAATTACGTTATTCTTTCATCTGTAGATAAATTTAACGGGCGCTTCGTGACTTTTACTTTAAAGAATTTACAAATTTAACTATTTATAACTTCGTTATATTAATTTTAACCACTCGGTCAATTTGACACCTAGGGACAAATTAAGTTGGCAAAATGAGGGACGGATAAGGGTTAATGTAATTTGCTACTGTGATTGAACTGGTTGATAATAGTTCCTTGACTATTGCTGGCTCGAAACTTGCATACAACTGGTTATCAGGGCTATTAAGTAGCCGGTAGATAATGAGTATGAAAACAATGTATGACTATGACTCATTAAGAATGGTTAGGAAACTAGGCAAAACGGAAGTGCACTATAGCCGGGCAATATGAACACAGTCAGGGAATTGTTTGTACAGCGAATATTGTGCTGCCATATACGAAATGGATGAACAATATACAGCCAACTCGGAAAGTTAGCCGGTCAAGAAACGGCATATTCATGAGATGAAACGTAACCTAGCCAAGCGTTGAGTCTAAGTAGAGTTAGGTCAGTTAAGAGTTCACTACAGTAAACAGAGACTAACAACGGGGATTGCAATATTAGAATAAACTCGTTCCAAGTTGTGAAAAAGGTGCACGAACTATGCGTACAATGCACAATACAGTAGACAGGATATAACAAACTTGTTAGTGGTTTGTTCTTTTCACAATAGTTCAAGAAGTGTAGACCTCGAAACGTCTTCACTCTAATGTCGTTCTAGTTAGTCCCATTGCGAAGTATACTTTTCTCTGTTTATTGCGCTAACCCTAACAAATGTAGTTTGCTACCCAACATTACCCAAGCTCAACTTGTAATCTAGTTAGATCTCACCTCATGTGTGGTGTCACTTGTCGAGAGGTCAAATAAAGTCACGTGTTTAAGTATACAGGGATTATATGTCTGAGTCTTTAATCAGTATCTGTCAAGTCTTGTCATGTGTTGCAATTGACCCAGTTACCGGCTTTGATAGTTCGTGGGTTAAGACACCTGAGTGAGAAATGCATTAAAGTATATACTGCAAAATTTATCTTGACCTTGAGCTTCAAGGTCACATGGGTAGTGTTTAGATTGAAAATTTTATGTCGAACCCTGTATTAGATACAATTAATTTCGATTTCAGTTCGGGCAAAAACCACCTCTGGTGCTACTCGATTGCTCGAAGTTACAGCTTGGCAGAGGGAGACTAGACGACAACGTCTCAGCGTTTAGGAAAAGATTAGATCTCTTCCGTGAAATGTCGTTGCCTATGCTGAAGACATTGGACAGTGAAAATCGTTTGACGATTGTAAGTTCAGTAGGAAATCGTTGTTTTTTTATTTAAATAAATTGTAAAGAACCCTCGAAATTATACTCGAGTTTCGTTGGATTGTGAAAAGTAGTTTTAATGTATTCTAAGTATCTAAAGTTGGTTTATTTGAAATTAATTTATTCATTGCAGAAATCTGTAACTAGTTATTGTCTATATGTATTTTGTATTGAAAAGGGGGTTAATAGAGGAAGTACTGATGGTTCAATAGTTTGTATAAAGTGTTCAAAACATTCTCCTTATAGCTCTAACTGTGGTTATAGATGTTATAAATATTCTAAACCATTCTAATGTTATAGTTCAATATAGGTTCAAGGTCGTAGAATTACACCTCGTTAAAGTCGTCGTTGTGTTAGCTGAAATTTAATGGACAGTACACGTACCAACTCGTGAAACTATGAAATGAAATTTGCAAAGGCATTATAGCTCATTAAATTCTTGTTTGTAAATTGGTGAAACAAGCTTTATGGTGACCCTGGTTTCTCAGAAATAGGTTATAAAAATCGGAATTCGTATATTTACAGACCACTTTTAACATTAATAAAATATCTAGTATTTAATTTTGTAATAATTTCGCTACTCTTCTGATATTCAATTTCAGTCCTATGAAGTTTGAGAAAATACATAATTTCTTGTTTCGGTTAAAAATGTTATCGCTTGAATTAACTCAAAAACTGGAGAAATAAACGTAACTCTTTCATTTTAATTTTGTAAAAATCACAGAATCATAATTTTTTAATTTTAATTTCATAAGAATTACAGAAACGTTATTTTCCAATTTTAACATTACAAAATTACAGAACATTGTTTTATAATGCAGATCGATGGCGACACGGACGTGCCGAGCGTGCAGCAAGAATTCTCGGCCGCGCTTTATCAGCTGATGACCAAAGTGCGACGCAAAGAGGAGGGACATCTACGCGGTCCTCCGTCGCCATTGGTGAAAGAAAACGGGACCGATACGAATTCAAACCCGATAGTCTCCAATAACAATCAAACGATCATTCCTAACGGCATTCCCAAAGAAATAATCGGTGAGAAACCGGACATCGAAAATGTCATAAACGCTACGAAAAATATGAACGGTCTCTCCCTCGGGGGTAAGTAGTTTTTAATTAAAGAAAACATTAGGCACGTGCATGTGAAACGTTGTTTTTGTTCATTGGTATACAGACTTCTTAATCAGAGGCTGTTAACCGGCTCTAATGGAACCAAAATCTGAAACCAGATATAGAAATAGCTGGATAACCTAAAAACACGAGTGAAACAGTGTTAATAAGCTGTAAATAAAAATTCTATTCGGCTGAAACTAAATTTAAAGAACGAATCTATATGACAGCGTAATAAGAAAATCAAAAATGACGAAATTACAGTAGAGCTTTCGATTTCAAGTTATTGTACAAATTAAAAGTTAAGAACGCCCGAAACTAGGCAGCCTGTATACAATTGGGAAATGTAGGCACGTCAGTCTGGGCGCGTACACCAACGCTTCTAGAAAAAAAATTATCCTTATCTCATACATTGCACAAAATGTGATATTTGAGACGTTTCCAGCTTTTAATTCGTTATAATTTGGAGACAAAACATCTGCCGAAATTTGACCACTATTAACTTTCATCAGGATGGAATGGAGAAGAGTCACAGAGGCACTCTCGGTACAGACTATCTGAAATTAATAATTCTAAAATATCTTATTTCTTTTTATTCAATTTATTTATTCAGTAAAATAGTAACATTAAGTTGTTAATTATTTGTTATGTATATTATTAATTGTATTTCATTATTTATCATGTATATTATTAATTGTATTTCATTATTTGTTATATATATTATTAATTTTGTATATTATATCGATCATCATGAAATCATAAAGGAGCCTCAGAGGGTCTTCTATTCGGTTGAAGGTTAATTGTTGTCTTATCTTGCCATGTATAATCATTCCTGAAATGTAACTGTATCCTGACGAGCAAACTCGGCTACCACTAGGGGAAAAAATGATGTAAGGGAAAGTCTTCCTATCAATTGGTCTCGGAGTTACTAAAATTTATGCCAAATTCATATTCGGTTTAACATTTATGTCAGTATTTGGAATAAATTTATCAAGCGGTAGGAGGCCCTTACCCCTATGTTACTTTTTCCTGTAATGGAAGCCGAGTTTGCTCGTGGTTGTACATTTTACTGGACTAGAATTTAAAGAAATCAATCTTTTTGTCACAAAAATTGTAGATAGGATAAATTAATAAAATTAGTAACAACAAACTAAAGATTGTTTGTGCTGTTCAGGCGCAGTACGAATCGCCAACGGATTGCAGAACATCAAACAGGCTCAGAAAAATGGTGTTGCCCGCGTGCAAAACGGCATCGCGAACGGCGCCGCGCACATGTTGCAGAACGGTGTCGCGCATTTGGCCAACGGGATTGTGCCAGGCAACAACAAAGTTGCGCCGGCCGTTCAGAATTATCTACCGAACGACACCAAAGACGCTGTGAAGAAAATGTACAACGAGGTCGAGGGTTACCAGCAAAATTTGCATATGTAACCCTTGCCCAAAACTATAGGCAAGTTTAAGAGACTTAAGGCTACATGTACGTTAATTAACCTATTCGATTGGCGCTTGTTTCGGGCCCGCTGTAAACAAGGTGCGCCATCTGCAATATGAACTACTTTGGTACACTAAAAACCAAATAAGACCATAACTGTTTCGCGCAGCTGGAATTTGTCATACACCGGGTGACATAATGAAGTATTTCTCAAGACATGAATACTTATAAATTGGCAAGTTTGTACACCGACGAGGAAATTTGGCCTCCACTAGGGGAAAAACTGGCGTAGAAGGAAAGTCTCCTACCACTTACTAAATGTATGACAAGTTCGGAAATAAATACTAAACCGAATATGAATTTGGCATAAATTTCAGTAACTCCCAAAACTAAATGGTAGGAGGCCCTTCGCCAACTGCACTTTTTCCCCTAACGGAAGTCGAGTTTGCTCGTCGATGTACTTCACAGCCATTCGATGTTTGATGCTACACGAGGCATAATGATGCTCAATTGTTTAAGACGTTGGTAACTACAGCGCGCTCTGCCCGTCGAATCGGTTAATTGAGTAGCTACATAGGTTAGGCAGAACATTAATTTTGTAAAATAATATGAAAGATATTCTTCTAACTACTATTTATTTAAAAAAAAAGGCAAATGTCGCGCGATGTTTGTTCTGAAACATATAACTTAGTGTATATGTAGCTTAACACGGTAGACAAGACACAGAATAGACCTAACATTCGCTAGGATGTTTAACACAAAGTTTCCTTTGAAATACAATGTTTTATATATTTCTTATTATTAAGTGATGTTCTTTTGTAAATGAGTATCTGAAACTGTGTATTTGCATAAACCACTGTACTCTAATTACGATTATATCGAACAATTGATGAAAGCAAAAAGTGAATTGCTAATGTTTCCATAAGACCATAGGTCTGTCCTCTACCTCATCTGTGTGCAAACAGAAGGATCAGAACTTATTTTTAATATTGTCATATCTTTTTATAACGTTAATCACTTTAATAGTTGCAAATACGAAAAAATCGTTAAGGTTCCTTAATATGTAATACTTATACGTCCTTACTGTGCCTTAAGCATATACGACTTAAATAGGATTAATGGAAAATTCAAGGAAAGCCAAACACGAAGATAGTTTTGCAAATGTAGAATAAGTATCGAGTGACGTTGGGCGTTATTTAAAATTATTACTATTTCAGTAGTTACTTCTAATTCGATATTTTTAATTAAAAAGAAATGAAATTAATACTTTAAAAAGGGAAAGTTAAGTTTCACAGGAATTTAAGTAATTTATTTAATATGGTATGATGATTTATTATTTAATATTTATGAAGGCTATTAAATAACGTTTCTCTTGTATATAGAAAAGGGAATTTGTTGAGAATTTCAGAACAAAGCAACAATTATTCGCAGCTTTACTTAAATAAATTCAGTTTAATATTGATATTTTTATGTAAAAATTATATTTAGTAATTTATTTAACTCAGGCTGCTTTTGAAAATTAAAAGTATTATTATTCCGCAATTAATTTAAATTTAGTAATTTAGATTTTATTTGTTGATTTAGTTTGTGTTACAATTGGTAAAACTTGCATTTTGCAGTGATGTATGTTGCTATACCAGTATCAATGCAATGCAAAGAGTTAATTGTTTACTGTTTATTATTTAAACAAAAGATTTGCCGAACTTTAATATGAAGTTGAAAATTAAGTAGTAAAATTATAGTCCTTCAATAAGTAATATCATAATTGTTTTAAAACGCTTAAAAATTCAAGGTCATAGAGCTTTCATCGAAGAACTAAGAGAATTAATACCAAAATGGCGGAAAATAGTGAGGCAAGATAGTAGTTATAATTAGATTTACATATCAGAATTCTTATTCGTTAATTAAGAAATTACAAAATGAACACAGTATTTTTTATCGAATGTACCAATATTACAGCATTATCTTAAGTGCTGAAAAATCGACATTTTGACTATTGTGACTATAAGTACAAGAGCATTTTTAAGTGAACATTTTCAAAGGACACATTTAACGCTCGGTCATTTTTACATAAAATATTATGAATTCAAAGTATGTATTCCAATAGATTTCGTTCATACTTTATAATTTATAAGATTTAATAAAAGAAATAAAACACCATGTATTGTTGCTCTGGAGTTAATAATTTAGAAATGGAAATTTTCTTTTAACTATTAAACTACAAACTAAAAAGTTGTAGAATACGATCCACACGATGTGTGTCTTTCATTCAAAACTATAATTTAAACAAAATCCATAAAAAAACTGTAACGTTTAATATTAAAATGTTTAGACAGCGTGTCATATGAGGAAATGTGTTCTGTTTATTAAACACATCCGTTCTACACGCGACATGCGGTTTACCGCCAATAAATCAACTAACGCATTCAATTTAAACTTAGCGCATACCAGTGAAACTGAAGACCAGCTAAAAGGTTTTAAAAAAGAAAAAGTTTAACCATGTAAACCTCAAATAAGCAATACGTACATTAAAATTAACTTCTCTTTGGTAAAAAACAGTTCCTTGATATTTATTATTTTGATAGAAATTCATAGCGCGCACTTTAATCCTTATTCATCCCTCATTTTCTCAACTTAATTTGTGTCAATTTGTGTTAGTTTATCCCTCGGTGTCAAATTGACCCAGTGGTAAAAATTAATGTAATGAAGTAACAAATAATTAAATTTGCAAATTCTTTAAAGTAGAAGTCACGAAACATCCATTAGTGGACACAAGAGACAGATGAGGGTTAATATAATTTATATTTGAACTAAGTACAGTATTTCGATTAGTTATCTAATTAAACAAATATTAATTTAATATCGTTTTATTATATTAAGCGTATATTATATTATTAGGTTGATGCATAAGGTTTGTTATATTTGGATTGTGATAGACAGCTAAAAATAATGTTACATAGTATCAAAATATTTGCCATTAGTTAAAACAGTCATCAGTGACTGCAAAACATAGTTCCTCGACAAATTGGGCAATTTAGTAAATAAAAATTTTGGGAAACTAAATAAAATGTAGGACAACAGTACTTTTAATGCTGAATAATGCAAATAATTAAGTTTTTCAATCCTAAAGTAAAACATGAATGAAAGTCTCGTTTTTTGTATTGAATACACTTACCTACAAATAACTTCATTCAGAGTAAAGTTTCATGCACAATGAACAATCCTTTCGCATTTACTTAATACATAAATCCTTGTGTCTACTTTAATAATTTTGTTTCACTTTTAATACGTAGAAAAACGTAATTGTATGATATTATTACCATTTTAATCTGGAAATGTTACTGTAACATAAATAAAGTCAAGAAATTATTCGTTATTTTGAAACAGTATGTTAATATTTGACTCGATTTCCATGATGGTTTATTTAAAATAGGTGAAAGACAGATCTGATATTTAATACAGGATGTACATTCAATTTGTATGTAAGATTAATATGTACTTAATATATTTTTAAGAAACTAGATACCCCGATAGATTTATTCATAGATTCTTATTATTAAGAGAAAAAATTCTATTTACTAATTCTTCTATTTCCTTCTTTTAAGAAAATCAACTAGCATCAAACATTAGTATTATTATCAATAAGGGTACAATAAAAAATGAAGAATATGTACACCAGTAATTCCAATTTTTTAAGTTCATTAAATATTATAATACCATCATTGTTATTTCTTATGTAATTGTATATGTTTAGATGTACTTAAACGTACCTTTTATGCAAGTATTGTATAAATTATTTTCTGAAATATTTTATTCAACAATCTGTTATTACATATGCTTGTTTGTTTGTTTGTTTTTTTAAATAAAGATGCAATAAATTCATGCACTAAAATATTAAATCTACTATTTAAGGAATTCTTGAATCACCTTTCCTTGAAGTTATTAAAATAACCAATGAATTCAAGTGATAAAATGCTTGTTCATTTTATTTTCAAATTGAATATTAATTTGACGTTTCGAAGGCAGATATTTTAAATAACATCGATTTGTAATATTTTCTTTTTTAATACAGTTCGTTTGTCGCTGGATTCTGTTAGTTTAATTTTTAAGAAATCTACTGTTTGTGATATCAAAAATCCCCTATTCTAAACGAAACAATAGTTTTGTATTTTTGTAATAACATTTCGTGAAATCAGTCCACAAAGATGTTAGTTTACATACACATCAGCGATCTAGTGATTATATTTACAAGATAATATATCTTATTCTTATATATACATATGTATCTTCCTTTACAAGGACTTTTATTAAATATCTTTCTTTAAAAAGCGTTCACCTTAGAAACAAAACGTTTCTTTAACACATAACAATCATTAAAAATAAGGAAAACTTCAATATGAAGTTGAAACTTCGAACAGAATTAAATATATGTATATATCACATTGGAGAAAGTATAAATTGAATCCATAATGTGCGCTTATCAAAACCTTATCCGAACAAATACTATTAAATAATCCTTCGTGCAATTTCAGTAATTTGACTTGTTTATTGACATTTTCACTATACATATATGTAACGAATAATCAAGCCCATCAACTTGTTATTTCAATTGCTAAATGTACCGCATACATAACAACTTGTGTCTCAAATTTTCCTTTTATAAATTCCTATTCAAAGAATAGAACATTCTCCAGCCATTCGTTCTAGACGTTTTTACATAAACCTATTCCGATACGAATATTCGAAGCTGACTGATAATCACAATAGAGTAGTAAGCATTACATGAATGATATGTATAAAATACCAGTCGAATATATATATATATATATATATATTCGACTGGTATTTTATGCAATGGAAACTTAATATCTACATACTGTGTTTCAGTACAGTTCACAGAAACTATTTGCTTCTTTAAAATTTATACATAATTCACTAATCTATGGTAAACTATCTACATACTCTGATTACAGAGTATGATTCTTACCCGATAATACTTGGTCAAGAGTACATGTGAGATTATAAATCATTATTTTTGAACACATTCTTTTCATGACAGGAAAATATAATCACAATACTCTTGTTCGTTTCTACTTATAATATCAATAACGTGCCGCGTATGTGTTTTATCATATATTCTATACATTTTCTCTTTCGGAAGTTATTCTAAATGTTTTGTATGTGTTCTTTGCGGATTTGCACAAATATGTTTTGTTTTTAATAAGATATGCAGGTTCTTCATAATATCAGACGTTTAAATAAAATGAGATCATGAAAACGCTCAATTTCTGTTTCCAGCTTAATCATTGATTTATACCGTACACTATACAATTAATTTTATCACCAAAACGTCACATATACAAGTAATGCGTATGACAGACAATTATTACATCGAGATAGGTAACATATTACTTCTTTACTTTCGCCAAAATATACCGTTTTTTAAATAAATTTCTTGTAATCTTTAAAGAAATCGGAAATAAAATATGGAAGCCAGAAATTTCGAGTGCACACTGTTCATACATGGAATGCATATACAAGCATGTTGCACTGCACACTTTCTCTTCTTATTATGCACATTTAATTATTGTTTTGTATATATAATATACGTATACCACTTTTTATCGTACAGTAACACAAGATACTAAAGTCTTAGTTATAAATAATCACAATGAAATATTCTAATCACAATAAACATTAGTTTTATATTACAAGCTAACAACAGTACAATGATTTTTATGCCTCTAAAAATGGAGTTTAAATTAAATTCATTTGGCAGACTCGATAGAAAAATTAATATCAAGGGACTTAAGACTCAGTTCATTGTTGAACGCCTCTATATAGACTTGCATTCTTAATAAATAAATTACCTAGAAATAGGAATGTAGGTAATGATCAAATAGTTTGATAGTTCAGAATAGGAAATAAATGCTTATTTCATAAAAGATACATGATAATTTTACGATGAGGGGAAAGAATTAAAATATCTCTATGACAGTGAGCAAGGGTTTGTTGGTGTATATAGTATCGGACAAAAACGTCGCGAGTAAAACAGCATGTAACCTAAATATTTGAAAGGCCTAAACATAATGTATTCACACTTTATAATAAAAACTGGATCACACACAATAAAATGTACCAGCGTAAATAATTACTCCTTCTCTTTGCCGTATCACACGAACAGTAGTTAATTATGTTTAGAAATTTTAAAACTACATTTGGCCACGAAAATGAAATATCGACTATAACAAATTCGGTTTGGAAGTCTAGATTCTAAAAAAAAACAGTTGTACAAAAGCACGCGTAACAGAAATTTACATGTTTTATGAAATAATTACAGATGAGGTCAAACACATGTAGGAACAGACATGTATATTCGTTTGGCAGAGAGAAGAATATTAAAGAATGTATAAGAAAATAATTATAAAACTAACAGTAAGTTATGACTCGTCCATCATTGCGACCCACGAGTAGTCTGCTTAAAAGTCTTGAAATGCTTCGACTTTGGAAATGTTAGTTTCGTCCAAAATCAGCCAGTGTACGATAATTAATTTTATTCGTCGCGAATTTCGTTCTTAGATCATACTGTATGACACTCGTTAAAAGTAGTAGGACCACGTGGAGACCAAGCCCATGAATACGATTTTAGAATTCTGGTTTATATAGCAGTCTTTAACTTTGGCATTACTGTGACCAAGAGATTGAAATCTGGCTTCATTAAAATTTTAAATACATCCAATATATTAGCGAAAAAAAAAGAAAAGATTAATTTATATTTAGTACAGTACAAATACTAACACCAAAGTTTATAACTGAAACTACATTGAACACTACGCATGATAGAACATAATTTAAAAATATAATGCGATTAATGATTCATTTAAACATTAACACGAGTAATACAAATGATTTAGACGATCAATGATAACCATTACCAATTGAACGCAACAAAATTCTTACAGTATTAGTTACAATAAATAAGTGTTCTATTACGATAAATGAATGTCCATGGGCTTGGCTGTTCATTGCTCGACCAAGTTAGTATTCATCACCATTCGTACAAACAAATGTTTCGCCAATTAGTTCGTAAAATTCAAACATTACTATCTGATTTATCGGAAAAACCCATTGGTTGAGCACTTTCAACAAGATTGACCTGCATACTCGATGAAGGAACCTCAACGGTCGTCGCTGATGTTCTCATTTCATGGAAAGATGCCCTGAAAATAATGTGCAATTAAAATTCAACTAATATTTAATATACCTATACCTCGCCATACGGCCGCTTTTTATACGGCATTTCGCTATAACGGCCTTTTTTAATTATGGCACTTTTTCGATTTACAGCCCACAATGTTTCGTTATACGGCCAAAGAAATGCTGTACTGTTAGCGACCTTCTGTTTATAAAATGCTTTATGAACTAAAAACTATATTATTTTATAAAAAATTGGAACAGATTCAATTGAATTTGTATGGGTTTGTATCAAAATAGTTGATTCGTTATACGGCTTTTCGCTTTACGGCCAACTTTTCCGGAACGTATCTAGGCCGTAAAGCGAGGTATGGGTGTATTTTGAAACATACGTAAAATTTGGAGAATATATCTTTGAAAACACATAACATGTATATATATTACTACTAATCAATAATAGTGTAAACATGTAATTGCAAATAAATTGGAGGTTCATAGAATATTATATTGTTTTAAATTTGTTTTAAATTAACGTTAATCATAATTGATAGATAATTTAAAAAAAATAATCCTTTAATTATTCATTAGCAGGCAAATGCAATATTATTTTCATACACAATATAGTATAAACTTACAAAAAAAACTAAGCATTCATGTAAAATATTATTTAGTAGCATGAAATATTTTATTAAAGGAATTATTTTTCTAACGATCTGGAGATTAACAATAAAATAAGCAAAGTATTTGATTGTATTAAGGTATAAATTAAACTTAATTATACTTTTTTGCTTGAATCTAAGAACTACGGAGATCACTAATTGCAATTAGGAAGCTTTAATAATGACGTTGGCAAATTTCTGTCATGAAGCTGCAGTTTAAGTATTTGTGAATGCGCAAACTTGTATTTCTTTTCTAGATATAGAAAAGAATAAACAACAACATGCAAATGATTAATTTGAATAATATAAACGTGTTTAACGTTTATGTACAAGAATAAAGTCCACACACGTCTCTTATACGATCATTTCAAAGCCGTATAATGTATTTAAAAAATGAATAAAGCTGTTTTTACAGAAATGAATAACGATGTAAATTTATGCGGTAATTTTTTTAAACTCAAGCATTCATGCACTTAGTTACAGTGTTTTAATAATCACAGAGAAATTGGCTGATGTGTGTTACTTTGCATAATTTAAACACGTATTGTTAAATAGTAAAATTTTATGGTTGATATTTCATGAAATGAAAGAATGAGAACTGTAAAGCAAAAGCACATACATGATAGCATAAGTGTAATGTGCGAGGCAACGAATTTCGTATTACTAAATCTGTAGAATAGAAGAAAATTATAATATTGCTAAAAATTGTACAGATTTAAATGACATCTAAAAAAAATAAAAATATAAGAATAAATTTGAAACTTTATATATTATTGCCTGGTTAGTGAAGTGGTGCAATGAATGTGATGATTTATGAAGGCCTCCAGACATCGGGATCCTCCACAAGAGTTGTAGGTCATTACTGCTTGCTCGGGCCTGGTTCCTCTGTTGTTATTAGTGTATTAGTAACAATATTAGGAATTAAATTTATCAAATAATAATAATGTATATAATTGAATGTACGTTAAGAAAATTCAAGAATGAAACCATGTAATCATTCAATCGCACTATAAATATTTTAATAATTCGGTACGAAGCAATTGTCAATTGTGTTAGTAGTTTTAGGGATGATGTTTCAACTTCTAAAAGACAAACGCACAGAATACGTGGCAGCAAATAAATCAAGAAAAAAATACGTGTATAACTTTCTAATTATATAAGACAATCGAACAATCTTTTGTTCGGGAATATATGAAATTAATTATTATATCACTGAATGAAATTTCTTGTTTTTTTTTTATTAGGAATTCTGAATTTTATTCCATTCCATCTTTGATTTTTAAACGACTTACAGTGACACTGAATAACTGTGTACCGAAGTATCTTCAAAGTTCTTCTAAAAGTATGTTTTTCCTCATTTTAGCTGTCTTGTATGCTTTCAATGTTTGTTTGTTAAAACTTAAAACAACCTATGTGTAATAAAAAGTACCCAGAAACCACAGCAACGAATTCACACGTAAATATAGACAAACATGAAATACATAAAAAATTACTCTTCCACCTAGAAGCGAACAACATGTGCAAAGATTATTGCAGAACGCATCACATGATTCATTCACACTGTAACACATTACTGAAAATTAATGTAAAGGATAGAATGTGTTTTTCAGTGCCAATCATTTATACCTATGAAGGTATATTATTAAACTGCTTTATACTTTCCTTATGGATAGCCGTGTCTTATAAAGTTATAAACGAAATAATTGTAACTTACTTTCGACCAAGCGACATCATTCCATATATTACACCTGTTGCAAATATTAGGCCACCGCCAAATATGCTACTCAGAGTCATACAAAGGAAGATTGATGGAAGAGGCATCCTAAAATAACAAAGAAATGCTATACATCTAATCTATAAATGGAACAAACTACATTAACCCCTTGCCCTATAACATCGAGTCAGACTCGTGTTGATGATTTCAAAATCGTTTCAATAAAGAAGAATATTTTCCGAATATTAAGAATTATTTGGTTTTCTTTGAGTCGAAGTGAAATGCCACGTTACTGGCATTAATATTTAACTTTTACAGTAAAAATACAGTTGCAATAAGTGCAGAATTCTATAAACTATCGAGAACAATGTATTCCAGAAGTCTGTAGACATCAAGAAAGTCGTAGGACAAGGGGTTAAGAAAGGAAACAACATATAGCGTAGAGCACTTGAATGTCTGTTTAAAAAACACACTTACAAACAATAGGCTGCTGCTCTATTCCAGTATGGTTTCTTTTCCACCCAATCGCTTAAGTTTTGTACAAAATCAATAAATAGGCAGCAACATGGTGCTTCTATCATTACAACTACAAAACCAATCACCATCTGCCACATGCCGCTAATTAGGCAATCTATAGAACCTAGGAGTATCGATGCACAATTCAATATTCCGAGAAAAATTGCAACTGCAACAAATTGATAAAAATTATTACGTTTAATATCCATAGTCTACACATAAAAATAAAGTCTTATAATAGAGATGCATGAACTTTTGGATCAGTACTACACAGAGTGTCTAACGTGTCACTGTTAAATTTTGGGACTTTCCTTCAAATTTATAAAAAAAAGGAGGTTATACAAAAGTTGAATGATATTTAAGTGTGTGTAAATTCCATAAATCATAATTTCTTTACCTGGATGTATCTTTGTACCTTTGAATGTTCGATCGTCTCTGGACCTCTATTGACTCTTCATATTTAATTATTGGATCTGTCATGATTTATTCTAATAAAAAATATTTAAAAAATGCAAGTTTGATTTAACAAACAAAAGGCAACATACATGTCCTTAGAACAAAGTGCAGACAAAGACACCCCGATTTATGAAAGTTACACATATACTTAAATATCGCTCAACATTTGTCTAACACAATTTTTTGTAAATTTCAAGGCAAGTCCTGAAATTTCATGGCGATACTTGTATGGGTCAACCAGTATGTTAAAATATTTTAAAAGATGACAGGAAGTCCAAATGGAAAAAGAAAGTATCTTATAATCTCATGCCTGATCTGTCTCCATTTTCCATTAATAATGTTTTAAAGTTGTGCAACTTTTCAAATGTATTCAAGAGAAAAAAAGAAAATATCTTCTATAGCTTAGCTATTTGTAAACTTTGGCAAGTTCTAAATGTTTGCAGAAAAGAACATAGCTCGTACAAATACACTATAACCCAAGAGATTCTTTCATAATCAGCTGTTTTATTTTAACACAGACATATTTCCTCCTGAAGGACAAAACTTGTTGCTCAGTGAAAAACCTGAACTCAATGGTACCCTTTATTACGTACGCTCCAGTTGCAGATGTATTATCTATGAAAATCATAAGGCGCACAGACTCGTATCATTTTCCCAAACAGCTAAAATGTTTAGGTCAATGACCTATTGAAATGTCTCGCCGATCTGTGTATGTTACTTTCTCTAGCTTGTAATGTTAAATTTCAAAAGTTATTGCTGTACAATGAAAGCAGATTGGACAGAATATTACAACACAGATTTTGTTCAATTTGAGAACACATACCCTGTATGCTTTCTTTTTCTATCTATTGGAAAAATCAGAAGTGTAAATAGCGTATAGTGTAAAGATGTAATACCACTAAACAATTCGAAATACCTAAATATTAATATCTTTCTTGAAAACAAAGAAATAAAACACTGTACATACACAATGTATCCGAATATTACACACGTAAAAGCTTCGACTGGTGTATACACTTTTTGCTATATAAAACTTGATAAATGCAACGATAAGTCGACACTATAATGGTGAAATACGTAACGCGATATGACATATATTATTTTCGGAAACGTACTTATACTCCCTACGGTACCGAGACCTCGAGCAGTGTATTTCATCCACCAAGATACATCGTCCTTGGAAGCAGGGTCTTGTCCTGGTTTTTGCATGATCGTCATTATTTTTTCAGAGAACGACTAAAAAAGTAAGGGAATCATTGTTGTTAAAGACGTGGGCTTATGCCCGAGCAATCACAATCTCACAGATTTAAAACACATTTACCATTTTGATCGTTCCGTGATCCTCTTCTTCACCAGCTGACAGCCGACAGGACCAAACGGAACTGACTGGAACTGACAGCACTCTTAAGGATCTGTTGTACGGAAAATCGACCCCGCGAGTTTCTTAATTATGTGGGCAGAGGCGCCTCTGTCAACGATTTTAGTTCACACGTGAATTCTCCACGATTGAAGTCATAGACATATATTATATATAATAGACTGCGCGGTCTTATGGGAGGGCTGAAGTCGACACGAGAGAGAGAGGGCAATAGCTAGAGTAGCTGCCTAACGGCAAACAGCATAAGCTTGGAAAGCGTGTAATTTGAAATATTATGAATATTTGCATTCTGTTACTACGGTTGTGTAGAGTCATATATGTAATTAATAACTTTTCATGGCATAAACATGATTCACTCGAGGAACAAAGAAATGTTGTATTACCTTAATAACTAAAAAGAAATGTTATCAATTGTATTCCGGAAGCCAAATAGAATAAACTTATATTAAATTAACTAGTAAAATTGTATTTAATTTCATTTTATTAAACGTTAAATACATATTCTTAAATTATAATTATATTAAAGTGAGTAATTAATTTCACCAATTTCCGTCTCAACGACAAGTAGCAATTCACGCCATCTCTATTTCACAAGCAGAGTGTTTAGGGCTCCACGAGCACCAACTCACGCCTAAATTCCCATAGACGCAAATGTCCCTGAGAGGCCACACAACACCCAACATGACCCAACACCTTAAAAAAAATGAGCAATAGTCATGCAAACTCGCCACACGGTCTATGACCGTATAGTATCGATGATCTTCTATAGTGGTTTTTCATGGTCACTGATTACAGCTGATTGGTGTTTGGTATCATTTGGTATTCCGGTATACGTTCGCTTCACGTAATACGTTTCATTGACGTTCCTCAATACGGATTTGTTTTTGATATGTCCACCGCTGCCCGACACAAATCATTCTGGCTACACCGTAGAGTTTTCTTTTAGCCGTTAAAATAAAATGTCGAAAATGAGTTCAAAAGATAAAGATAACAAAACCTTACACGACAAATTGAAACAATTTTTTCGCATTAATAAAGGTAAATCACCTTCTTAGCGAATTGTTAATTCAGTTCTTGTTTATTACCGCACAGTGTATTTTTTATTTGGAATGACAAACTGTGTTTACAATGATCATGATTTTTTCTTCTTGTACGGAAATCTGTAGTCAAACTAATAATTAATAGTAACAGATGAAAAATCACAAGTTATTAAGTTTCTACGAATATAGATCTATGTTCTTTCATGCTTTATCAAGACAACTTTCTTTATAGGAACGTATAAGAGTCGTGAGGATTTTGCATTAACAACTGACCTTGAAAAAGAAATCAGCCCCGAAAGTCCTGTACATCATCGTACAAAAGCAATCAAAGATCTTTGTGAAGCAGTCCTTAATCAGCAATGGGAAGATGTAGGTGAACGCTTCTCGCTGATATACTTGTTAATCGTTATAACTGAGTAATTTAAATATAGTATCAATTAAATCTTTGCTGTATACTTCTTTAGACAGCAGCCGAACGATTATGGTATTTGGTACAAGATCTTTTAGGAAAGGATGTACTTCGTGAACATAGACACGTGACATTGAACTTCTTGCGATGTCTTGTTCAAGGCCAATATTCTAAATTATCTTCTCTTATGAGAGTGAAATTCTTTATGGTTGTTAAAGAACATAATATTCCCGAAGATATTGGACTCAGGTATTATGATATTATACTTCAGGTCAGAATTCTGACTAATCAGGGTGTCATTGAAGGAAAATTAATTCCTGCTTCTACCGCAATGGCTACAGATGAGTCAAAATGACCCTGCATTTGCTATATGAGGGTTAATTGTGTTTTAGTTGTGTTAAGTATATATTTTTCTGTCCTAGATTGGAACTCTTGCAAAGTTTAACAGAAAATGGTAAAGATATATTACATTTGGAAGATAGAATGGGACCATTCTTATTAGAATGGATGCCTGTTGTAACAGCAGGAGATGGGAAGAGAGGTGCCGAATTTTTATCTCTTCTTGTTAATGTCATAAAATTCAATTCTGCTTATATCGACGATGATATTATATCAGGACTTGTTCAGTAAATACACAATAATTTCTCACACTAATTATAATATTTACTATGAAATGAAGTACTTCACAGTTTTTGTTCTTTTAGGTACATTTGTCATCTGTGTTATTATAGCAACAGCACCGAAGTAGTTTCTGGGTGTTTAAAAGCTCTAGATGCAATTGTTTGCTATAATAACTTACACTCGGACTCATTGCAAACCTTTATTATAGCTTTATGCGGAAGTGTGAATGTTGAAACGTATTGCCAAATAAGTTGGAAGGTATGATTACAAAAATTCAAATACGAAGTATGTTTTGTTGTAGACAATTGCGTAAGCTGTACTAGAAATACATAAAATATATGTACAACTAAATTTTTCAGATAATGCGTAATCTATTAGGAACGCATATGGGTCATTCTGCACTGTATACAATGTGTCGTTTGTTACAAGATGCTAATTTTCAGCGAGATGTACGTTTACTCAGGGGTGCAGTGTTCTATGTAAATATGGGTCTTTGGGGTACGCATAAAATTCCAAAACTGGAATGCACTCCAACATCTGTTTTACCTTCGTTTTATCAAGTAGGTAACAAAGTGTATTTAATATTATTAGTACGTTTTTAATACGTTGACTGGTGTTGAGGTGACCGGTGATCGACACCCGTTTGTTTCAGTATTGTTAATATAGTAACATAAATTGGTAACTTGACAAAATATACATAGCATGAGTACACAATTCAATTTAATAATTTCGTGTAATACCGTAAACTTCATACAGTGAAAATTTTTCGTTGAACTTGTGGGCAAAACATCGAAAGTCAACGTGTTAATACCTTATCACTGTAAAGTATTGTTTATTTCTTTTTTTTCTTATCTGACAAGGCTTTAAAATGCAATCACCCAATTGTTATGTACGAAGTAACACTATCAATTCAAAGATTAGTGACTAAATATGGTGCTGAGTTATGGGATCCTACGTGGAGCATTATTCTTGATATTATTGAAGAAGTTATTTCTCATACAGGTAAAACGCAAAGTCCTAAATTCATTTTTTTAACTTAAGCATATAATATTTCCCCCCTTTTATTTCTTTTAAATAGAAACCAGTAATCAGCCTGCAACCAGGCAAGTTTCAGTGAGTTTACACGAAACTATAAATAGCATTGAGAATTTATTGGATAATAACCATTATAACGGTTGTGTCCAACGGTTTTACGATCTCGTTGAACGCTGCAGAGATAAGCGACCTGTAATTATCATATCTACGAAATCGCATTGATTGTAGTAACAAAACTATAAGATTGAATGTCTCCTTTTAGGAAGTATCTGTTTTGAAATTAATTGAATATAGAGCACGTACTATAGGGCCTACTCATTACCAGTGGCAGTCGAAATTAGCCAACTTAATGGAACATTATTACAAATTGGAAACACGTACTAATGTCAGAATGAAAGTTCTCGAAGTATTGACAAATGTTATTGAGGTTAATAGGTAACTATCAAATTACGAGTTTCAAGTATAATATCGATGGCTTTCAACTGTATTCCTTTTAAATAGGTCTAGATACGAAGATGAATTGATTGAAAGAATAGTCGTGCCATACTTTCAACATGTGGATGCAGATTCAGATATTACAATTCGTAATGGTGTTGCACATCTGCTCGTCGATCTTTGTCTTGAGTGCGATACGAAACGATGTCTGGAACTTTTGGATGTATTAGAGAAGGTAAATATTATTACAACGAATCATAATATTGAATGGTAATGTTTGTAATGCAAATTGAACAGTCAGTGTCTCTTTCAGCTGATTAACAAGCCGTTCTGTTCGGACATTCCAATCACAAAAGATACCGACATCAAAGATGTGAAAACTGCAGTTGTCGGTGTAATCAAGATATTAACATTAAAAATTTATACTTTACCATCGAGCCATGCAATTCGTGCTTACAAGGTTTTAGTGTACCATCTCGAACAGCATTATAAAGATCCAACTGTCTTCCACGATGTTTCGACTATTCGGTATCTGGTAATACATTTTTTAATGTTAAATTTTCCAGTTTCTTTGAATAAGTTTCACATACATTCTATCCTGTACAGATTTTCGAGTGTTTCTTGAAAATCAGAGCCAACACGCTATATCATCTTGGATTCCCGGATACACAGAATGCATCGATGACACGGTTCAGTCCGTATTTAGTTTTGGAACATGCCGCGACTGAACGAATGAACAGTGGAGGTGGTGGAAATAGTCCTCCGCCAGCAAGTCCAGCTCCATCACATTTATCCTGTCAGATCACTCACATGTCGTTGGCACATGCATGTAAAGCTGTTATTTCCTGCATCAAATCAGAGAAAGGTTTACCATTTCTGTTCATATTTTAAAGGGTTCGGAGGATGAAGGTATTATGTTAGAAATATTAAGTCTGTAGTACGCTGAGTTCAAAAGTTATTCGTTCTGTGTTTGTCTTTCTAACATACGTTCTTCGTCCTCTTTGTGTTTCATTATTCTGTTGTAGAACACAAAATGAATTGCGGTCTACGGTGAAAGAACACCACGTACCATCTTCATTCGCTAAGAAAAGTCAGTTTTCAGAAAAATGTTACGTAACATCTTTGTCCTCCGAAGCCTTCATTTCTATTAGAAACATTATAGGGAAGTGAATAACAGTTACAACAAAGATTTTATATATTTGTAGATTGGAAGGTCTTACAACTTGTTTTAAAAGAGTTGCCTCAAGTAATGCAAAATAGAGCCTTGGTACTGTCACGACACACGAATGATATTGACTGTTTCGCTGCGGCACTTTGTTCGATGGTGTGTCATAATGCGTATTACTTTGTATTTTGTTTGTTTTTTTTTTCTTCTTTTTTGTTTAAATACATTCATTAATATTTATTTAACAATAGGTCAGCGATAAGAACTTACGACTTCCAGAATCTTTATACAATGTTCCTCCTAAATTCACTCAATCGGAGTTTCGAGTTCACATTTTTCCAGTATTAGCGTCGCTAGCTTCGTATCATGCGCATCTGGAACCTAATTTGCAGCAACGTTTGATCAAATGTTTAGAGGTAAAAACAAAAGCTACTTTTCCAAATTATTCAAGTAATATTTTTATCGAATGACAATATTAAGCATACTATTTCTACAATTTTATCACTCTTTAGGTTGGTTTAACTGCGAAATGCGCGAGTCAGTGTGTTACTAGTCTCACAACTTGTATATTAGAAATGCGTGATGCGATGAACAAACTTCTATCGGAAGTACTCCTGAATTTGTCGAAAATTTCAGCAACAGTACACATTGCTATACCAATTTTAGAATTTTTATCCAGTGAGTATATAACTCTGTTGTCTATTTAGACAAATTTATAATATTTAATTATTTCTTTTCTTTTTTCCAGCTCTTAGTAGGCTTCCAAAAGTTTTCGCGAGTTTCATTGGAGATCAATACATGTCGGTTTTTGCTATTCTATTACCGTATACAAATCCATTCAAATATGACCACTACACAGTATCCTTGGCGCATCATGTAATTGCTGTATGGTTTTTAAAATGTCGATTACCATTTCGAAGAGACTTTGTTCGGTTTATCACTACGGTACATATATTATAGATCCATTTATCGGAATTAATATCTTATTTGTAATATGCTACGATCGACACGTTACACGTTTACTTTGTTACACAGGGCTTGAAGGCGAATGTAATAATCCCTTTCGAAGAAGGGCATCTGATGAAGTCAGATTTTAACTTCTTGAACGAAGACTCGTCGAGTAGGAAACGTAGCTCAAGTTTAACAGAACAGGTGTAAATGCGTTAGCACGATTGTACTGTATTTGTTATCTTTTTAAAGCATTTTGTTACTATTTTGTTTTTATTTATAGGGCAGTAGAGGTCGAAGGGAAAGACCAATGATGTCTAATCGTATGATAGGTGATAGTAAATTATCCGATCTGAAACCTCCAATTGACGAAGCTTTAATGACCTTTCATGTGGAACTTACTGAAACTTGTATCGATTTGATGGCTCGATATACATTTTCAACATATTCAGCACGGCCTAAAAGGTACACTTGAAAAATTAAAAATTAAAGGATTATTCGTTATGTTTTACATAAATGGTAATACTTGTGAATTATATTCAGTTATAAAATGTCATGATGTACCAGGAATGACATTAATATTCAGGATTTATTTAGAGTATAGCATGTTTAGGCGGTTTATTAATACTAATCTTTGAGCTTCTGTACTCTATGTACATATATATAATAGTATGTTATAGGTTATGTAGAGCAAGGTAGCTTTCTGTTTCACCTAGTCTAAAGAACTTCTCCACATTGTATTCACTTTTGTTTACTTTTTATATTGCATAGACTTTCAACCGCTGACTTTCTTCTTAAAGAAGGCCAATCAATGACGTGGTTACTTGGAAACAAACTGATCACTGTAACGACAAGCGGTTGCAGCAATAAGGCAATGCGCGGAGGACTTTGTGATAATTGTTGGGTTGCTTGTAAACCTGGTCCTCAATCGCCTGAACATGCAAGAACGTCTCAACTGAATTTACGAAGGGCGTCAAGTACAGAGGTACTACTACTATTAGTTGCATTTATACAGGGTGGGCCGGAAATCGTAGTACAACCGGGCAGGGGGCGATTCTACGTTAAAAAAGAAGAAAATATTTTGGTATAACATTTTCTCATCCGGGACTCCGTTTTCGAGAAAATCGACATTAAAGTTTGTTCAACTTGTAAACGATTTAGTACAATTTGCTGTGTTTACAAACATTGATGATTGTGTGGATAAAACAATACAAAGTGTTTCTACTGATTACTCATTTTGTATTCTTTTTTACTACTAATACACGACAAGCAAATTGTACTAAATCGTTTACATGTTGAACAAATTTTAAAGTCGATTTTCTCGAAAACGAAGTCCCGGATGAGAAAATGTTATACCAAAATATTTTCTTCTTTTTTAACGTAGAATCACCCCCTGCCTGGTTGTACTACGATTTCCGGCCCACCCTGTATATCGATTTGTACAATCTTTCTACAACGAACAAAAATGAACGTAGACATCGAAAGAAGACAAATTGTCCAGGCAGTCTTCCGGAGGACATGGAAGCTCTACTGGAAACACAGCTGCAAATTCTCCAACTGAGGAATTGAAGAAAGCGTCGGACGATTTAGAAGCGGCAAAAAGAGATTACTCGGCGGAGAAGACGGACAAAGAACAAGTCGAAACATCGAAATTAGAACAAATACTCAACAGCGAGAAACAAGAAGAACATGTGCTTTGTGCTTGCTGGTGTCAAGGCTGGGCTGAAATATATGTACGCAGACCTACGGGTGACATGTCTTGGATAATGAGAATCCAGAATTCGATGCAATTCGAAACGCATGTAGACTTTCCCGTGTACGACATAATGGCGCTGTACAGACCGAACCAGGATTTGTTGCAAAAACAACAAGAATCTACGTCGGAATATTCTGGAGACGAAGGAGAGGTAGTCCGAAAATTCGCAATTAATAATGTGTACTTGGTACTTTATTGAACTTCTATCGAATTTTTAACAGTCATTTATTCGAAACAGTGCTTGAATAGTGTCATTGTTGAAATCGATAGTGCCCTGTAAAAAGTACACCGACGAGCAAACTCGGCTTCTGCTAGGGTAAATGTGAGGTTAGCGAAAAGCCTCCATTTAGTTTTGGAAGTTACTGAAATTTATGCCAAATTAATATTGGGTTTAACATTTATTTCTGTAATAAATTTAATAAGTGCTGGGAGACTTTTCTTCCACGCCACTTTTTCCCCTAGTGGAAGCCGAGTTTGTACGCGAGGGTACAAAATGGGCCGTAACTTAACTTAGAAATGGCGATTGCTGTTAATGATTCGCATTTATAAATGTGTAACCAAATATACCGTGGCATTTCATGTGTCGGCGACTTGATAACACTGTAATATATTATGTAAGATTTTGCAGGATACTACGGATAAAAATTCAGATCAAGCACAAACTGAATGCAATAGCGTGGTGAAATCTGTAACATCGTCTTCTGTATCGTCGGGTCCAATTGCGATACCGGGTTCACCGGCTCGACCGAATCCTTCCAGGCAAAGTTCCCGTGACAGTTTAGAAAGTTTAGAGGACGGCGACGATGGTACGTTCAGACAGATTTTCCGCCATAAATCAATGAAACATTTTTCGGTATTAAGCAATTTAAACTGTCGATAGATTTACGCCGTTCGCGGAATCCAGTACGCAGATCAAATTCTAGTCCCGAAATGAGTGCCAATTGGAAAAATCCATTCTTAAATAAGGATAAGCTAAACTTACAACAAATAGACAGGGAACTGTCATCTGGAGATTTGGAAGTTAAACTTGATACCGAACAGAAAAACCGCGCGAAAAATACTTATGCGAAGGATATGAGGTATCGTTACTTTGAAAATCTGACAAAATTTTCTATATTTGCTTACGCATATTTTACAAGGCTGAAAGTGTGGGATTACCTGAATTATTGTCTCTCCTCAGGGCAGAAATGTTAACCTAAAGAAAGACGAAATCAGTCATACCCTATTTCTCCTTTAACCCTTATACGCACCTCAGAAATAGTAACATAAAAGACCCGGTGAAAACTCGGTGATATTTCACCCATTTTTTCTCTATATTCCAATTAATGTTATTATTAACCTATTATTACTGTATATCATAAGAAGTTGGTTACATTTGTTAACTTATTCCTCACATTTTACAATTATTACATATATAAATAGCATTTTTATGTTCGCCACATATATATTTTTTACACAGTTCGCAAGTTGCCATACGCTTCTCTATCTTTTCCTACGCATAACTGGCATCCAGAGCCTGTAATTCTTTTCTTTTTAGCTTTTGGTCATTCTTTGGTTCTTGGTTTATTCATACAAAATAAAAACATGTGCATAAAAAGCACTATGTAATAACTTATTTTCACCAGAGTAGTTAATGTATTTTATAAGTGAACAGTATTTGGGTGAAATATCACCCAAGGAATTTTTCCGTTACTTTCTTTTTTACAACATTCTTGTTATAAATAAAATGTTAACTATTTGTGTTTTACATACAACTCTATATTTTAGACAAATACATCAAGTTATAACATACTTAGAAAGAAATCAAGCATATTACAGCATTTAGAAATAGAAAATGGGTGAATTTTTACCCGAGGAGTGTATGAGGGTTAATTAATTGGTAACATGCGAAACAGTTTTTTCTTGTCTGTTTTTTGTTTTAGATACATTTATGTATTTATAATGGTACCCTCGCGAGCAAACTTGGCTTCCGCTAAGGGAAAAAGCAGTGCAGGAGAAGAGCCTTCTATCACTTGGTCTCGGGAATTATTGAAATTTATGTGAAATTAACATTCAATTTAACATTTATTTCGGTATTTGAATTATCCCTACGTTACTTTTTCCCCTAGTGGAAGCCGAGTTTGCTCGTGGGTGTACGTTATTCAAATTTCAGGGTCAGTTGCGAAGCTATACCAGAAGAAATATTTGGCATGGGTACAACACCACCATCTTGTGAGAACTCTACGGATCATCCTTCTGCATTGAGGTCGCAACATTCTTACCCAGGAGCGACTCAAGTGACTCAAGTCATTACGACAACAAGCAATACTGTTCCGCCATCACCGACTACTCTGCAGGTACCGTGTTTAAGTAAAGTTGATAAAATACTTCACCGAAGAATTATGAATTCATGTGCCGTTTTGTAGGTACAGGGAAACTTTTTAGGAGTACAAGCGCGTACGGCACAAATACAATCATCCACCACAAAGCCCCCACAATCACCCACGCAAATTTATCCTCGGTTATCTAATCTTGAGTCTGGCCAAAAACAGACAGCATTAGGATCAGAAAATAAACCGCCTATTGGACGAAATCACCTTGGGGACAAAGTATTGTATCGTATAATCGCAAGTGATATACACTTGGTAGAAAAGATATAGTGTGGTCGTAAAATTGTTCAGGAAACAACGTATTTATGTTTCGATGAAAACATTTGATAGAATTGTGGGGTTGTGAAGGGTTTTTGGACCTTATTCAGAGTTATACGAGCTATCCAAATTCTGTTCCGGTTTTTTTCTTGGCAAATTTAATTACAGTCAGTATAGAATTACTAGTATTATCTTTTTGAGGGGCTAAAATCGAATAATGTTTACAGCCCTCTGTCCTGCAAAAATAATAGGACGCGCTTGTCAAGGATCTACTTTACGACTACGTTACATTATTTTCGCCGTTTGTACTTTTATATTTTTTTTCAGCTGAAATTTGTATAAATATATTATTTTTTAACAGAAAGATGAACGACCAGACCCGTCCATGTTACCCCCATTACCATTACCGTTCCGTGACAGGGGTCATACTATTTCTGTGATGAGTCCTGTAAAAAAATCTCGGGCAGAATGGGATAACATCCGCAGAGGAAATTCGCCACGAGTAAAAGATCCTCCCAAGGCTGGTATCAATCCTAGGTGCGTTACATTTTTGTATGAACACCTCTGTCCCTCGATTTACGCGGTAGTTCTCATACACGGTCAATAATCACTCGATTTACGTGGTTTCAGTTTTATACAATCAAAAAGTCACATTTGCTTTATTTGTACATATACAAATTATTGTACATCATTGACAAATGGTTTCGTATGTGATTGTATTTCTTACCTTATTTTCACCTTATTTTGGTTGAATTCTGTACAGGTAATCAAATGTTATCGTGTATTTTTATTTAATCTTTCTTCACTTACGTTGTAATCATGTTTTGTAATAATAAAATTTTGGGTCACGGTTTTCAGGTGATTCTACACATCTGGATCGGTGGAAATTTTCCATGGGAACAGTTGGATCGCGATACATGGTTCTCTTTAACAATTTTGACGCTTTAAAATGAAAAAAATATGAACCCTTCAATTTTAAGGTTAGAAACAATTTTGAGGACGATCCAGAATTGTAGTATCACCTGTGAAAACGTGACGACAAGCGAATTTGTTTAAAAAAAAAAAACTACTTAGAACGTGTCTCTCTGTGTAAATCGAAGGACGATTGTCGATGTTTATAAATTCTTCTCCTTTCACTGTGTTAAATTTACGTTTAAATGCTTGCATTACAGTTTCGTGTTTTTACAACTCTATCATACGGCGCATTTTGGCTCACCCTCGGAAAAACCATTGTTAGTTCCACAAACGACAGCTGTGCAGAGGGCAGTAACGAATTTAGATAGGATACAACCATATGAAACCCACAAGATTGGTGTCCTTTATGTCGGTCCAGGGCAAGCTTCTAACGAGACCGAGATTTTGGCTAATCAGCATGGGTCTCTGCGATATACAGAATTTTTACAACGATTAGGAACATTGGTCCGATTGAAAGACCTCGATGAAAGTGTGTTTCTAGGAGGCTTAGATCGGAATGGTGAAAATGGAAACTTCGCATACATCTGGCAGGATGACGTTACACAGGTATGAATGAGTTATTAAAGTTTATATGCGATGGATCACCTAACTGTTACAAGTTTATTCACGAAATTATAGCCCATGACAAATATTGCTTATAATCCAGCTCTTCGCAGTTTCATTTAGATAAATATTTCAAATTCAGTTTCTGTTAATAAGATGACTAATATTGTCGTAGTTTCTTTTTATGCCTAACATAGTTTTATGAATAAGATGATGCCTGATATTGTAAAGTGAGAAACTTGTATCTTAGTTGAATTTAAAGAGACCCATGTATCATTCGACAAGAGTTAAATATACAACTTTTGACATTTTTAGATACTTAATGTAAAAACCAGTAAGATTTGTTTTAATTGTCTACGACTAAGTTTTTGTTAAATAGAAAAAAATTATTTATATTGCTCTGAAGATTAGTTGAAATATCTGAAGACAAACTAATAAAACGGTTTTAGGTAGCGTTTCACGTGGCTACTTTAATGCCAACCAAAACGAGTGACCCAAAGTGTACCTCCAAAAAGCTACATATTGGAAATAATTATGTTACTGTAGTATATAATGAATCCGGAGAGCCATATAATATACAAACTGTAAAGGTACATGGTTTTAATAATATTATGATCCCACGAATATGGTATAACTGTAAGTAAACGTTGCCTTAACTCTGATTCTATTTCTTAGGGACAATTTAATTATGCGTGTGTTGTGATTCAGCCCTTGGATCATGGCACTAATCAAGTTACAGTTCAAGTGAAAGAAGAATTAGCAAAACACATTCGACACAGTGAACCAAAAATAATTTCTGATCAAAATTTAGCAATTTTATCTCGCCAGCTTGCACTCCATGCGAATGTAAGTTTCCATTAATTAGTGAAAAATATTAAAAACATCTCAAGACTTTTGTAATGATTTAATAACATATTTTCAAAGTACACATTGATTTTGTTTTAACTTTTTATAGCTTGCTTCAATGGTTTCGCCATCTTTAGAACAGAATAGTCATAATCCATATGCCTCTAATTGGCTGGAGCGTTTGCGACGTATAAAGCGGCTCCGAAATCGCGTGTTACAAGAAACGATAAACAATAATCCGGATGGAACAACCGACGATTTATCGCCGAGATCGAATAAACGCATTTATATGGATGATTTTACTGAGTATACAACATGACTTGATTCTAATAAACAGATTACATAAATGTCGTTATTAATGTAATTCGTACTTGCATAAACGTACGTAAGTTTCTTTTTTATGCAATAATTGAGCACAGTGCGTGAATTCTGATGAATATAATTATTTTACAGGGACAAATATTTTTTATGTTGAATGTCGGATGCAATTCTAAGGATCTACTAGTTTAAATAGTATTCAAGTTTAATGTGATAAATAATACATTGTGTTATGTATTATTATTTTAATATTGTATTTCATCTTTAAAGTAATTAAAAAAAGCAGTCTGAAATAAATGAAAAGAATGATTTATAATTTTGAAATGATTTTTGGAAGCTTGTATTCATAGATATACTTACCGTAATAGACTGCACGATCTTACCGTAGAGCTGAAGTCGAGACTGAAATACAGAAGTAGCGCTGAAGTAGCTATTTCTTGCTCACACATCGCAAAGGGAGGGGAGAAAACGAGTGGCGGGCAATGAGGGGAAGGGATACTGCACTGTACACCCATGAGCAAATTCGGCTTGTACTAGGGACAAAGGGGACGTAGAGAAGGGCCTCCTACCACTTGATAAATTTATTTCAACTACTAAAATATGGTAGGAAGCTCTTTCCCTACGCCACTTTTTCACCTAATGGAAGCCGAGTTTGCTCGTAGGGTACATATATACGCATGTAATACCTCCACTACAGCCGTACGAGAATCCCCTACTAACAGCCCTATTAGAAAGAGAGGAAAGTTACTCCAGCTACTGTCCTCTTTTTCTAGTGCCGATTTCATCCCTACCATAGGACCGCGCAGTCTATTATATATGTCTATGATCGCAACAAAGAGTAAAGCAAGGTAAAGTAGATATCAGGGTATCTCAAAATAGCTTCGACTCCCAGAAATGAGGATTTCTGGGATAATTCGAAATAACTTTTTCCTTAACAAAAATGTTATCCTAGGCTTTGTTAACAAGATATTAACGAAAAATTCCGACCAATCAGAGCGCGAGTTTGACGGCGCTACCAACGCTACCGCGAGAACTGGACCGGCAACCGCGCTTTGATTGGTCGGGGTTTTTCTTTAATATCTCCTTAACAAAGCCTAGGATAACATTTTTACTAAAGAAAAAGTTGTTTCGAATCATCCCAAGAATCCCTCATTTCCGGAAGTCGAAGCTATTTTGGGACACCCTATATACTGTATGGTCAGGTGGGTCAGGTTAAGGACAACTCCGTCGCAAGAAAATATCAACTTGGCTTTGTCACGTGACAGACCTCTTATTGGTTATTTTTACTGCGAATAAGAGCGTATCTATTTACAATAAGCCTAAGTCTAAAACTCCTCTGCTCTATTCTTTTAAATAAACTGCACTACCAAATTTTCATACTTTTAAATAACAATCACTTCTGTCATTTTTGTCATTTTTAATTAGAAGCGCGGTAATTAAATGTACATGTCAAATGAATAGAATATAGAATATTCTTCTTCCGACAATACTCTAACGATATGCTACGTTCCTGATACAATCACGTGATTTTATTTTGATTTAGTCTATATGTAACTTGACAGATAATGTCTCTTAATGTACAACACATACATAATTGTGACAAAATATTCAAATGTACTGAGTTGTTAATTATATACAAATTATATTATATATTAATTATTCTTATACAGTCTTTTTTCTATTTTTTCACGAAATGAAACGTATGAAATGAATTTACATGTATGTAATTCTCAAATACACTAAGCATAGCATAAGAGAAACAAAAAATATAGTGGTTAATGGTCGTCAACAGGCAATCGTCATGGGATGTGGTAATAAACACGACGGTAAACGAACAATCAAAAATATAATATTGCATAAAACATGTGCCCGTACAACGTGGTAAAACTTCAAGGTGATTTTAAAATAGTGCATGTGACATTGTCTCTGCTTAAAAAATAACATCGCTGCTTTTTAAAAACAGCTATACACCGCCTGATTGATTCCTTGCGGCCTAATTACATATAAAAATATGATGAAGTTTGGTCGTTAAGTTTAGTGTAAGTAAAAGAGCAGGATGTTACAAGTACTCGAGATCAAAACGAACAGGTTATCCCTTGACAAAAGTACCGCCATAATCGATTGGATTGATCATGTCAGTCCGTCAATTACATACGACGAATTTTTCTCAAAGTATTTAATTCCAAATAAACCGTGTATCTTTGATTCAAAAGTCACTGAAAATTGGTCATGCAGAAGGCAATGGAGCTTGGATGATGCACCAGACTTTACTGCCCTTGATATATTATTTGGTAAATATTGTTTAGATATTATTATAATACATATATTGTTACTAGAGCGTGGGTTGTATGCATTTATAATGTACACGATTGTCTAAAATTTATCATAGTAAAATATTAACAGAATTTTAACAAGGTTTGTATTTTATTCGGAACCTTCTAGAAATCTTAATAGAGTAGACAAATATTTGTTTGTTTGTTATAAGTAAACGAAACTAAAAAAACTCAATAATGTTATGTATTTATTTCTATCGATATTTTTTATTATTTCTATTATATTTCACTGTAGAATGCAATGACCAGACCGTGAATATCTATGCAATTTCATAGTTCTAGATACCAATTTATAAAAATGAAAATTGTACATACATTTAGTTCCTTTATTAAATGTTTCATTATGTTATTATGAACGCATAAATTTTAGTAAATATTAGTAGTGCTTATACTGTGATTTGTACAAAACTTTTCTATAAGTAATTATATTTATATAACTTGTTTTATCATTCTCACTGAATCATTTTTGTAGGAAACTATGCAGTACCAGTGGCAGATTGCAACAAAAAATATTACAATTCACAATCCAAAGATGACATGAAAATGACAGATTACTTGAATTATTGGATGAATTATACAAAAAGTAATTATTCAGATTCTAAATCACTTTTGTATTTAAAAGATTGGCACTGTCCAAGATTATTTCCCAATGCTCCTATGTATGATGTTCCCCAATATTTTGCATCTGACTGGTTAAACGAATACTATATTGCAAATCCTGAATTGGATGACGATTATAGGTTCGTGTATATGGGACCGAGTAAAACATGGTAAAAAATACTCTTTGAATTATAAGTTTCTCATTTTATGAAGATTTTACGAAAGGAAAGCGATACACTGTTGTATTTCTTTTGTGTTTAGGACACCATTGCATGCAGACGTGTTTGGATCGTACAGTTGGTCTGCGAACGTAATTGGAAAGAAACGCTGGTTACTTTTCCCCCCGCATCAAGAAGACTGCTTGCGTGATATTCATGGCCAGTTAATATACGATGCAACATCCGACGAACTTAACGATTATAAAAAATACAAAGCCTACGACAAGCGTACAATAAAATATATTGATGTAGTTCAAAAGCCTGGAGAAATTATATTTGTACCATCTGGATGGCACCATCAAGTTTGGAATTTGGTGAGGCTCATTGACCATTACTATAGTGTGAAAATATTTTTTACAGGCGATAAGTAATTTATTTAATTCTCTCTTTAATAGGAAGATTCAATTTCTATTAATCATAATTGGATCAATGGATGCAATATTATGGATGTATGGCACGGATTGAAAAAAGAATTGTGCTCTGTAATGAAAGAAGTTTCCGACTGCAAAGATATGAATAATTGGGCAGAACAGTGCCAATTGATATTACGATCGACATTTGGAATGGATTATTATCTATTTTTAGATTTTCTAATTTTCATAGCTACAGAACGTTTAAATAAGGTTGTAAATAAAGATAGAGTTATCTGTTTTCGCAAGTATGAATTTGGAGTAAACCACTGTGTATTTGATCTTGATGCAATAAGATTGGTACTAATAGATTTTATCAAAGATACAGAGGAGAAATCCATATATGATTTAATTTGTGAGAGAAAGCAAGCTCATAAGTTATTACATAGGATTACAACATTATTGTGTTCGCATAATATTGAAAATTTGTGTGCAACACAGAAAAATAGCGAAATTTAAAGTGAAAGTGTAAATTTGTACAGGCAATATAACATATAGACAAATTTTACATAGTCAAAAAAATTAATTCAAAGATGCATTTTTATGGTTTAATGATATTATAATAGTACAATAAACTGAAAATTAACTATATGTTCAATTACAACGATAGAAGAGTTTTTTTTTTTATTACATTTACTGTAAATGTTACACATTTCAGTAAAAACATTATTATAACATTAACAGTGTATAATATCTATCCAATAACAAATTGAATTGTTTACATAATATAAATATTTGTAAATATATATTTATTTATTATGTAAATATTGTATATTTGTAATGTAAGAAGGACAATAAAACACAAAAAATGAGTCTACGATAATTATAAAAAAAAAGTCTTGGGCAATAAAGTATTTTACTTATACATATTAAGTGCATTAAGATCTAAATAATGTATAAAATCGAAAACAATCAATTACTAACTTGAAAAAATTTTAGTGCAATCAAAAATTCACTGATTTACAGTTCAACAAAGATTTTATTTTTGTATTCCAAAATGCTTTGAGAATATATAAATGTAAAAGTATGACAATTAAGAAAGTCGACATGACCTCCAAGTGTCCTTGAAGATTAGAAATAAAAAATTGCTATTACACGATCTCTTCATTTTATTTCTGGTGGATAAACTACCTCTAAAATTGTTTAGATAATTTATTTTATGTGCTTCACTCTGATATATGTATATTTATATACCTATATACAAAAAGGCAATGTATATATTTATATTTTAACAATTATATTTTTTTTCTCTATATATTTATAAATGAAGATATAAAAATGTAAAAAAAGATAATGTTAGTATATAAACGTCAGACACAAAATGCGAACTTCCTCACTTTTTGTTGACAAAATAAATTTACTAATGTGTGGTATATGTATATATATATATATGTATATTTCCTCCTAATACGATGACTGTATGTATATGTGATGTTCTTAAATTGTTATTAATTTTTTGATTTTGCATATGTATTGTTTGATATGAATTTCTCATGGCATGCACATAAAATTATAAAATGCTGTTTTTTTATTACTATCGTATTCAATGTTATTTAAAGACCAGAAACATTCCAAATCGAATTTTAGAGACTGAAGTACGTTTCACGAAACCATAATTTTGTTGTTTCAATAAACGATAAATGTATGGATGTTATGTAATTTAGGGAAAGTTGAAGAAAAATAATAATTCTGAATGATTTCTGTCGCAATTGATATGGCAAATAGAGAAATATTGTATTATTTTAGCGTCTTACTAAGAAATCTGAAAAATAACCGAAAAATAACAAAAATGTATTTCTGTCAAGGAAGTTAATATATTTCTGTACAATGTCTCCCTTCATAAACCGTATGTAAAGATTTATATAAAATATTGCACTGATGAAGATACGCTTAGAAAAAACAATGTCGGTCGCAATTGTTTGTTACTTTATGCTAAAAGAAAAAGATTGTCATGGATAAAAGGTATAAAAAGGAATATTACTTTAAATTATAATCATACAAAGTAAGCTTTCGGATAAAAACAAGTAAATATAGTATGTATTTCACTATTTACACACACGGACGCGCTCACGCAGCACATCATTCACACAGACACACACACATAGCAACTATTTTCTTTTAAAGTTTTTTTTTGCGATAGTACCAATTTTTTACTTGCATGGCAAGTAAGCTCTATTACCTAAGGTATCACGTTTCACAAAGTCTCCTTATTAATTAACAACAATTAACACTATTACAAAGATTAGACTCCACGCAACGTGATTTTATATTAATTATTGAATTATGTTTTTATACCTATATAATAGATACATACTTTTTTTTTTCGCCTCTCATACATTTCAACATTTCTTATGGAAACAGTTAATGGAATTGCACTGTACGATAAACATCGCAAAAGAATTATTCAATTTAAGTATTAAATTCATGTTATTTTGAATAGAAAATATTTTTATGAAATGTACGACATAATAAAACATCATAATGCTCGAATGAATGTTGTCTGTCCCTTGTGTGAATGTATATATGTACATATATATATACACTTATGTATGTACGTTTATTTTCTTTAAATGAAAGAAACTGTTGTACACCTAATACCATCGATAATGTTAAAGTATTAATGTACGTGTAAATGAAGCTATTTAAAATTGATGCTTAAAAAATCATTGTACTGTTTATACAGGGTGGGTAAAAACGTATAGTACAACCGAACAGGTGGTTATTCTGTACGCAAAAATTTAATTTGTTACATTTTAAAAAGGGAAACCGGATGGTGAAAATGATTAAGCAATACTTTAATAGCAATGCTACATTCCGTGGCCCAAGGCGCGGACGTGGAGGTTTTCAACCCCACAGAGACAGTAATCGTTTTAACGATTACAACGAGCAAGAGAGACGTCAGACGTTCGATGAACGCAGTCCTCAAAATAGTGGCGAAAATCGACCTCGAGCACCAAGACCTAGATTTCAAGGTAATCTAAAACCTCCAAGGCAACAGGGGGAGAGGGTGTCAGGACCGCCCAAACCACAGCATCTGTCTGTGGTGGCGTCAACGCAAAAGAATGACCCGTTGTACAGGGATGCCATCTTACCCGAACCGGGACGAGGGATTGTACCAAATTCTGTCTTTAACTATTACTCAGCAGCAATAAGTTACGCCCGATTGCTCAGGGTCCTCAAAACTTCTGGCAGGCCAGTGACGGCCCAAGAAGACGAATACATGGAGATGGTTTATGCAGGTAAATATGAAATACCAGCTTTGCTGGGCTTTTACCTCGATGGTTTGGGAAATACCAAACTTAACAACAGAGAAATTAGATTTCGTGCAAAACCAAGGAGTTACCATCTCGCAGACAACGGCACCATTGGATGGTTTGGCCGTGTGCACAGGACCACACATTATCTTTATGCAGCCTATCCCTGCCTGTGTATATGAGCAGGATTCAACAAGACATGCTACACACAGCTGATCAGCAGATCGACCCGAACTGGGATTTACCCAATAGTATCAAACCACAGATACAGGTCGTAGAAGGCGGACAACTAGTCAACATTGGCTTACCTTCAGTGAACTTGCTAAGCTACGGCCCTGCAAAAGTACTGACTTCCCTACAGAGACAGTGGCTTGAAGAGGGTGGAATAGAAGTTGATGGAACCTTTGAGAGTATCCATTCAACCATCCCCTATGTACCAAGCTTATTAACTGCGGTTCAGACAGAACTGCACAATAGTAAAATCAAACTAGTTCCTCTTAACACCGAGGACGTTGGCTCCATAGCACAGACGGTGACTACCAGAGTCACTACTCCATCATCTATTCCAGAGCAGAATATGAATCATGTCGCTACCATTGGCTTAGATATCAATGGAACTGTATTATACGCGGCGGAGTGCATGAGGTATCTTCAGCATCACCTCATTGATATAGAAGTAAACAATTGATGCGTTTACCAATTTTCAGGATTTGAGAACGTACCCGACGAGTGGAGCGATACAGCTAATACACTCTATGACGCAACCAGCGCGATGATTAAGCTTGAGGAGTTCAGAACTACTCCCTATACTCCAATAGTCGAGTTACGCAAGCTAAACGAACAGCTACATGAAAATTTAGAATAAAAGTTTTTCGTGTAATGCTTCATTTTCGAGATAATCGAATTTGAAACTCTGCTGAATATTCATACAATTGAATCGAACTTGGCTAATGCATCTCTTCCTTACGTTTCTACTAACTGCCAGCATGAAAACATGCACATGATTTTATTCTACAGTTTCGATTTATTTTTGCATATAGAATATGTATCCTGTTCAATTGTACCGTACGTCCTGGCCTATCCTGTATACAGGGTGTCCCGAAATAGTTTCGAATCCAGAAAATGCGGGGTTCCTGGGATGATTTGACACAAATTTTTCATTAGCAAAAATGTTACCGACGCTTAAACGTAAATATCTCGTTAACAAAGCCTCGGATAACATTTTTGCTAAGGAAAAAGTTATTTCGAATCATCCCAGGAACCTCTCATTTCCGGGAGTCGAAGCCATTTTGGTACACCCTGTATTTCAAGACTATGAAATATACTCGATGAATTGATAAGTTACGTATCAAATAGTTTCTGTAAAAAATCTAATTTCTGTTAGAAAAGAATTAAAAATTATAACGTCGAACTTATTCTCTTTTCTCTGATTTCTTATGTTGCTGAACGTTTTGTGGTAATTAGATCGGATGCGTGGCCAGTGTCGTTTGCAACGGTACGGCTGGCGTTGCAGGCGTTGTTATAGCAGGCATAGGGGTGGGTGGTATCTGCTGATGTGTTTGTCTGGGCGGTGACAAAAGTTCCTGCCTGTCCCGTTCTCTTTCTCTTCCTGGTCGCCATGCTTCTAGCAATGCTTCGACTCTTTCCTCAGTGGGCCCCCAACGAGCAGCGCCAGCTGCATTTTGTAACCACACCACTAATGTACCGTGTGCTGCCCTAATATTAACCTCGCTTCTGTAATGAATAATTTTCAAAAATCTCTTACTACTCTGTATTATACCAGAAAACAAAAGTGTAATAATACACGGGGTTAAACTTTACTTTACCGGACCAAAAATTATCAACTTTGTTTGTACCTTCTGGTAGTATTCAACGAGTAGAATCTAAAAATGCAAGTGTACAGTTTAGAAATCCACCGGTTCAAACGTTATGCGTATCTAAAACCAAGTATTTTTAGCGTATTTTACAGATTGGTTTAACGCCATATTGACTTCTGTACAAAATTTGTCCAAGAGTGGAATTCACAGATTCAGTATTTTGCTTTAAATAAATGGTTTTTTCTGTAAATTGTCTCTAACCAACTCAGAATCAGTATTTCATTTTGAATATAAGTGGTACTTTTTTTGTAAGCATATTTGAATAGCCGCCACCCACGTGCAACTCCTTAGGAACAGCGCTACCACTCATTGGACGAATTATATATTCAACCAATACTGTAAAGTACGCTAAGAATACTTGGATTTACATACGCATAACTTTTTAACCGTTGGATTCGTAAACTTAAAACTTGCATTTTTAGATTCTACTCGTTGAATACTACCAGGAGGTATACAAAAAAGTCTGTAATTTTTGGTCCAGCAAAGTAAAGTTCAGCCATGTACAGTATAGAAACGTTGGGCACGTACTTTGATAATATGTGCTGAAACCCATGTCTGTATTCGTGTTCCATAGCCGGTACTACTACTTGTTTCCGTTTGAAGTGGCTACCTTCTAATTTGATAAGAGCATTAGGCGCCGGATCTCTCCATTCCGGTAAAAACACCACGAAAGATAAAGGTTCAGCGGAATCAGCCAAAAGACGTTCAAAATGATTGACCATTGCTTCCATGAGTTCCTCGCAATATGGCGGATTAGCTTCGAATGATATTGTCTGAAGTAACAATTCAACGGTGACGCGAAACATTCGAACGTCACGCCGAAATGTCTTTGAAGACATTCGAAAACTGTGACGGGGAGCGCCATTTGCGTCGCTTGGCCTTCATTGATCCCAAGATATGTCTGATAACGTTTCAGCATACACCAAACACGGGGCAGAAACATTTCGAATTTTTTATCGTCGAAGCAATTATATCTGTACAGATGTTCCAATTTAGCGAGATGCATGTTGTTGATGCACACGGTGTCACCGTGGAAACGCAACAACGTTTGTTCGCGTTCAGGAAGATAATCCAGTTGCGGAAGGCGAGGAGTCGGAAGTGAGAATTGCACCGGGTAACACCAAACTTTTCTCTGCGTGCTGGCTGGTCCGCCTAATGGTATAACATTTCCTAAACCGTTATCCTTTAGTATCTGGCTGTTTTTGTCCTTAACCTTCTTCGCGTATTCCGTCGACAAATGGTAGATCTTCAAACAAATACCCTCAACGCTCGCCTTCACGGTCTCCGTGAGGTGCGGCTGGCATTGGCGTTTCAAGTGCGCGAGACGATCTTGAAAATCATCGAATGTAGCCCCGACCGTTCGTCTTAACCACTGAAATGTGTCCTCCGCGTTCCACTTCACGACTTTCCTGCTTTCGGACGAGGCTGCTCTCGATTCAATCATTTTCTTCGCGGCCTCTGCGTACCGCGACAATTGTTTCCTCGCGTCGCCGGTGAATTTCGGTCGGACTAACTTAATCGGGATATCGTTCATGATTTCACGGTACATCGACATGGAAATTTCCGGAAAACACTGGCTCGGTAAGAGAGGGTCCGAGCCACAGTCTATAACCTTTCTTTCCATTAGCCATCTATTGAAGGAATCTTTCGGCGCGTCGATCGATTCACGGGTATGACACAATTCTTGATAGCATTGCCGTAATTTCGCGAGTAAACTGCAACGTAGCGCTTCCGCTTCAGGATGAACGTGCGGCAAATTCGACGGCGCTCTTTCGTATATTATAACGTTTGTCGGAATCTCCAAATCCCATGGGCCTCTGTTAGATTGACAGAAATTAGAACGTTACACGTGAATACACGGGTCATTTGAAAAGTACGCGAAACAAAGTACAGATGACACGTCAATAATCCTGAAATCTTTAATTCATCGGAGATTTTCATTTGTGAAATGCAAGTTTCTCAAAAGTGTCCAAGTACATTGATGTTGAAGGGGATTATATTGAAAGATAGAAATATATTAAAAAGGGCATAAGATGTCTTTCCACTCTACTCTGAGAACTTCTCCAATGATCCAAATATATTACATTTAAGAGCATCTTACTACGATCACTAAATATCATGAAACTTGGATAATTCTAACGTACGCTAAGACAAATTTCTTTGCTGCTGGGACAATACTATCCTCTGAAGCCCTACGCTTAACTGTTCCTCCAGAGGGGATGGTACCATTTCCAGGAACAGGTTGCACACCACAGATACCGAGCGGATCCGTAATTGGATCGAACTGAAATGAGACTATAATTTGTATATGCAGATCTTTAATAATTTATAGGTACATCTTATACCTTAGTACCTGAGGTTTCAAAGGTGGTACTACCCATAGCGACTCCCCGGTTAATTTATTCCAAAAATACGGTCGATTCTCCCGTTTACTCCAAAACTTTTTCCATCCTTGTTGCTGAAGTTCAGGCGAAAGTTCAGAGTCTGGAAACGATCCCGGTGGCGTACCCTTTAAGTATTATTATAAAATTTTGTTAGAGGGAACATTTTTAACTTCACATTATATCGACATTTTACATGTAGCTAACTGAACTTTCTATATTCCCGATTCTGATAGTTAACTCTTGTGTGGGCAACCAAAATATTCACTGTTATTGAGCAATCGGAATACTCCTATTCTGACAGATTAGATAAACATGAATAATAAATTTTACTTCCATACTTTTCTGAAACTGTTAGCTTTCCCTTCATGGAATATACCAAATGTTGTTTTAGACAAGAACATAAAAAATTGTGAAAGGAAATTTATAAATGGGTACCCGGTTGCCTACACAAGGATTAATGGGTTAAAAATCATTTGATTCGAAATATTTAAGAACCAGACAGTAATTCATATGCAGTTTGGACACCAACAAATATATTAACTCCATAGATGGTTTTCGTTACAAACAGTATAAGATACACCCTGCTATTGAGGAACGAAACAGGTATGAAATGTTCACAGATAAAACGCCTTCTTACTTAAGTCTCAAGTGTTCCAAGTATCTGGCCAAATTCGTAGCTTGGTAATAACATCATGCAGAGAATTCTTTAAGATAATAAGTGTAAAGAAAGAAGATCTATATTGAGTGTAACGATGGGGAATATTTCCACAAAGTATATTGTAATAATCAATATTTACTACACAGTTTATATACCTTTATATACCCATTATACACAGTTTATATACCCTTTGTGATAGACTTTTTTAAAATGCCGGTACTTTTCATATGAAAAGGAGATTATGTATGGAAGATTAAAATGTCAAAATCGGAGTTCTATGGGCAAGAACTTGATATCTCTTATTTTCCACAGTCATCCACAAGCGATTTAACTGACGATTTTAAAATCGATTCAACAAAGAAGAATATTATTCGATTTTCTTTGAGTCGAAGTGAAATGTCGTTGGCCTTAATATTTAACTTTTACAGTAAAAATACAGTTGCGATAAGTACAGAATTCTTTTTATTTCTGGGAAACTATCGACAATAATGTAATCCTGGTGTCTGCAGACATCAAGAAAATTGTGGAGCAAGGGATTAATATGGCACATAAAATACCTTAGTACATAGAGTTAAGTTATACTTCATCATACAAGCTTTAACTGGTTAACAAGACTGAGAAAAATTAGCAAACGTACAAAGAATCTTACATAAATATACAAGAAACACAAAAAAAGTCCAAACAATAGAAAATTGCCAAAGGGACAAAACTTCTGAACTCGATTATAGTTCATCACACTTTCTTAATGTATTGTTACCTGTGTTATTAAAGCTGGTTGTTGAATATGACCAAGTTGCGAACAATGGTCAGGTATAGTTTGTGCTGAACTTAACATAGGTGCCTGAAGTTTTACAGGTGTAGGAACTATAACTTGTGCAACCGTCGGGTTTGTGTCTTGCTGCAACGACTGATGATGATGATGCATAGTGGAATAAGAAGATGCCGATTGTCCTGATAATGTTTCCCACGAAGAAGTATTAGGTATATCTTGCTTTCCTCCGCTTACTTCGTTCATTGTTTGGTATATGTTTTGTAGAAGCACTTATACTTTGTAGAACATGTAACAAACTTTATATAAATATTGCAATACAGTTTATGCAATTTGAATATAGAAATTTTCATTTGTTAATTGACTAACTAATTGTATTATAATATTCTTAGAATGATTATTTAATTACTATTACAGTAATTACTAGACTGCAAACTTTATGGCATTTATAATATAGTCAAACACGTAAAGCGTAGTAAGTTAACAACTTCTGGAGAGTTTAATAAAATTCAGATGTTGTTTGTAATCCATTGAAATCTGTAACACAAAAAATGGACATTCACTTAACACAGAACTTTGTGAATTAGTGAAGTAAAAGAAAACCGAATTTCTATAAAGATCTGCAGTCTAATAATTACAGATGATTAGCAGACACAAAAAGAAAAGTTATTGTTTTACTGGAAAAATATGTTGATCTTTTCATAATGTAATTACAGACGGGAAAAACTAAGGAAAATCGAAAACTTCCCGTACATATTCTTCATTAAATTCACAAATATAAGCGTAGCCAAGCTCTGTGACAACATTTCGTAATCCAGTGTTTGTTTACATGCTACGAAAACGCTCGATAAATTCACGATTTTGTGTGGGCCGAGGTCACGGAAACTGGTAAAAATCATTGAATCGTCGTAGCAGGACTTACGAGGATCAACAATAGCCCGAATTCGTGTAAAACGCACGATGAAAGTTAGAATTCATTCATGATTTGTGAAATTTGACGCAACGACCTCCACCCGTGAGATACCATTTGCTTGAACTGAACTTCTGACGAGAGTGGAGTTAAAGCTTATCTCACAACGAGTGGGTAAATTCGCGTGTAAACGAACATCCATGCGTGTTGAACGAGGCATTAAATTAATATTCATTTCGATCAAAGGTTCCTCGTAACTTGTATCAGAATATACGCATTAATTGTGTAAATGCGCAAATAAGTACTCAAACCTCGATATTCAAGCTCACGGGGTGAATTTTTGGGCGATAATTTTTAAATGTTACGGAAAATAAATAAATGAACGAAAGTCGCATTATCGTTAGTACGAAAGCGAAATAAATTGAAAAAAACGAGATTATTTTTTATTTTACTAGACAAGCCATCATTTTTCGCTATATGGGACATATACGCGTTAGCGCATAGGTTATACACGGTGTCATTAGAGTATCGATATTCATTTAGCGACTCCTTTCTACTACCTACCTTTTTATCTAAGGATTGCGCGGCCAAATCAAAGCAATATGGCGGCTTGACATAATAATTTTTGATACGGAATACATTATTTTGACTGTAACGAAATAATCGTACCGTCGTTTTATTGAATCGTTTTTTAGACGAAAGTTGACAAGAAAGTACGCTAGACAGTGTAAATACACGCGAAACGTGTCTACGAGCCGGCCGAGGGCTTCAGTTTCCCCGATTTGAAACTGAACAGTGCTTCCAAAAATTTGTTTTATTAATAGATGCAAAAATGCCGTTAATTATTGAATTAAACTAGTATCGTAATGCAGTGAGGTATCGCGATCACCATCGGTTTTCTATGAAAAACTATGTCCTCAACGCAAAGCAAAATGCGAGGTAAAGAAATAACACATTCCAATGTTTCCCTTTACTTTATATGTAATTCACATTTCTTCGTTGTTTTCTGTTGTAGATACAATGAACTTAGATTATTGGGTTGAATGGGAGGTTTTTGTGTTTTTCTTTTTGTTAGATACAATGGAGTGTTTCAAAAGTACATGTTTAAAACAGGATTTAAGTTCATCGCGAGCCTTCCACCAGTGATGTGACAATTTGTGGCAATTGTTGCCCATGAATTATCTTTATATATTGCCTTTGGCTGCCCCAGAATACGGTATATTTCTTAAATCCAGAACTGTTACTTGAAAACCTTTGAAATCAGGTTTGACACGTTCGAACCTTAATGATGCTTGTTTCATATATTTCAGAAATGTTTAATGTTTGCATGACTAGTGTCTCTCTAAGATTCATATAAAAATATATATCAAATATGTGTTTCATTAATTGGTATTTACATAATAATTTTTATTAAAACTGATTTGTTCGTAATAAAATAATTGGATAACTCATAATGTAATTATAGTCGCAGCATGTGATAGAATACTAGATGAATAATTATGTATTATTCTTACAACAACACCCATGAAAAATGCGAAAACTTCTTGTTCAACCCAATACATATATTTTGTTTGATGCATTGCATTAATTTTAAAGTATTGCAATTTATAAATGCAGGTCCAGGAAGACCACCAAAATCAAAAAATTCTTGTACATGGTGTGGAGAAACTAAACAACCATTAAAGTATGTTCTTCCAACGCAACATGGGAAAAAGGAATTTTGTTCCGAGACCTGTTTATCCGAATTCCGTAAAGCTTATATGAGAGGAGCCTGTGTTCAATGCGACAATGTTATTAGAGGCACACCGGTGAGATTGGAACAGAAAGACGGACCTACGAAAGATTTTTGTTCCTCGTTCTGTTTGAACAAGCACCAGAAGAAGGATGGACAAACTGACGTAAAAAAGAGTTAGTAATTTATAAAGACCTAATGTTATTCAAATATTATCTATTGCTATAAATATTATATTTCATTTTATTTTAATAGACAATAGAGACCAATCGTCACCTGCGCCATCGCTTTCGCCATCAGGATTACTAAGTGGAAGTAATGCTCCAACTACAACTCAGTCTTTCACAAATTCTAGCAATCATACAACCATGTCTCATCCCCCATCAACCTCAAGTGGCCCATTTCAGTACGAAACATATCAAACTTTCGATTGGGATCTCTATTTGAAAGAAACGAATAGTCAAGCCGCACCTGTTGACTGCTTCAAACAGGTATAATAACTTAACAGTCGTCGGTAAATGAAATTTCAAGTAAAATATACGCATTATAATACACAAATCGTCCTTCAGCATGAAGTTCCACCAACAAACGAATTCAAAATGGGTATGAAGTTAGAAGCCCTCGATCCTCGAAATTTAACGTCTACATGTATCGCAACTGTAGTCGGTGTTCTTGGCCCACGATTGCGATTAAGACTAGATGGCTCGGACAATAAAAACGATTTCTGGCGTTTGGTTGACAGTAACGAGATTCATCCAATTGGCCATTGCGAAAAGTCCGGTGGCATGTTGCAACCCCCGTTAGGCTTCCGAATGAATGCTTCCAGTTGGCCCATGTTCCTTTTAAAGACGTTGAATGGGGCAGAAATGGCGCCCGCGAAAGTATTTAAACGCGAGCCAAAAACACCCCGTTCAAATATGTTCGACGTTGGGCACAAGTTAGAAGCCATAGACAAAAAGAATCCACAATTAATATGTACAGCAACTGTTGGTGCTGTTAAAGACGATATGATCCATATTACATTCGATGGCTGGAGAGGTGCTTTCGATTATTGGTGTCGTTTCGACTCTAGAGATATATTCCCTGCTGGTTGGTGTTTCAAAAGTGGTCATCCGTTACAGCCGCCGAGACAAAAATGTAAGACACGCCTGGACATCTGTAACGATATAGTAAAAATGTACGGTAATGTCTCGATGAATGCGACGTACTCGTGACTGCTTTGGACCATTCATGGCAAGGCGGAAATGCTTTCAGCCCCTCGTAAATTTGTTTTTTTACTCGAAGCCGAGCCTCTGCTTAGCTTCTGTTTACTCTATTTTGATTGATTCCAGAGGGGAATCCCTCCAGTGGTGGAAATAACGCCGTTACTCGTGTCGCATTCATCGAGGAATCACTGTAGTTCCATTGAAAATACTGATATTAACGAATATATACCGGTCATTACAGCGACAGGGCCAAACAGATTTAAATCGAGGACCAGCAATGTGCTACCAGTAATGGCAATATCGGGTGGAGGTACTAACGGAGAACCAGCTGTTGCTTTAGTGAGTCCTGCGGGATCCAGTGCTCCTCCGCAACCAGCCACAGAGCCGGACACCAGTACAGCTAATACCAAACCGCATTCTTTAGAGAATGGTACGCGTAATTAAATATACTACACGACTTTATTCCTTTGTCGCTTACTTATTGTTTTTTGACTCATTACTTCTGTTGTATTACAGTCACAATTTATGTAAACCACAATTGTACCTGTGGTCCTTACTTTGATCCTCGTAAAGTAAAAGCTATGCCGGCACAATTTGGCACCGGCCCGATATTAAATGTTACACGAGATATATTTCAAGCTTTCCTGATGGCAGCAATGAGTCCAAGACAAATGTTAAGCTTATTAAAACGTGGTGAAGGAGAGACCATAAGCTTAATTTTAGAGAGTAAACCTACTTCTGTTAGGTTACCGATATTTATGGATGAGGAGGATTTTTACATATACATAAGGCGGCAGCTCGAGGACCTTTGTGCGTGCGAACATATGTTGTTCAGGCGAAAAGAACCGTGTAATAAATGCCCAAATACTCAGCAACCACAGTCGACGAATAGCGAGGAAGCAGTCGCCGCTGCCGCGACAAACAGTACTAATAACGCAGAAAAAAGAAGATGGTCGTCACAAAGTCAGCAGAGTTTATCGTCGAGTATCCAGCCGCAACAAATACAACAGAATTCCGTGCCAAGTATAAATCATTCTACAGTATCGTCGCCAACAGTTGCGAAACAACCTAGGAAGTCTGTTCCAGGTAATTGTGTACAATCGATTCTGTTTTTACATAGATTTCGGTAATGTATACAGGGTGTTGATTTTGACTGGTGCACCTAAATTATTTCCGCTACTATTGGAAGTAAGAAAAAATGACTAAATAGGATGTACACCCACGAGCAAACTCGGCTTCCTCTAGGGAAAAAAGTTATGTAAGGAAAAAACCTCCTACCACTTGGTCTCAGGGTTAATGAAATTTATGCCAAATTAACATTCGGTTTAACATTTCTTTCAGTATTTGACGTAAATTTATCAAGCGGTAGGAGGATCTTATTCTTACGTCACTTTTTCCCCTAGCAGAAGCCGACTTTGCTCGTGGGTGTACACCGACGAGCAAACTCGGTTTCCGCTAGGGAAAAAAGTGACGTAGAAGAACGACCTCCTATCATTTGGTAAATTTGTTTCAAGTACTAAAATAAATGTTAAAATGCATGTTAAAATGCATGTTAATTTGCCATAAATTTCAGAAACTTTTAAAACCAAATGGTAAAAGGCCCTATTCCTACGTCACTTTTTTCCCTAGCGGAAGCCGAGTTTACTCGCGAGTGTACATGGTTTTAAGGCGTGCATCTGATGGTGATAACAAAAATCCTGTGAATACCATGTTAACAGTTTTTTTTTCAAGATCATTGTATTTTTTATATTGCGATGTGGTAGTCGACGTCCAGATGATTTCAACGACCTACACACCATGACCTTGAAATGACCTTGAAGGCGAAGAAATCGGCTTCAGTTTGTTGAATACAGAAGTAAATCAACGTAATAAGAAGTAAAAAAACATTTTATCACCATCAGATACACGCCTTAAAACCGTGTACATCCTATTTAGTCATTTTTTCTTACTTTAAATAGTAGCACCCTGTATATTAGGGATATTTAAAGGGATATATAATTGATAAAAGGCACGATAAACAATATTTTGCGTCTGTTAATTAAATGTTATGTCTATGAAAAGTTTAAAGAATATTATCGTTTCGATTAGAACTGGAAGCTGCGACATCAACTACTCAAACTGAAAGTTCCATAAATCGTACAGCTTCGACCGAACCAGCGGAATGGACAATTGAAGATGTAATACATTATATCGGTGTTACTGATCCTGCATTGGGACAACATGCAGATTTATTCAGGAAGCATGTAAGTTACTTGCACATTTTGCTATTTCGATTATTTAAATAATATCTCGTTATTTAACAATATTGACTTGACTAAAGAATATAATCTCATTATCGAATAGGAAAGCGAGGTTGGTAATAATAAATTATTTTCAGGAAATCGATGGTAAAGCTTTATTACTTTTAAATTCTGACATGATGATGAAATATATGGGATTAAAACTTGGGCCAGCCCTTAAAATATGCAATCTAGTAAATCGCATTAAAGGTAGAAGGCACATACTTCTATGACTTTGTTAAACATCAGACTATATATATATATATATATAGTGAGTTGAATCAACCCATTACTTAAACTGGCTGGTCAAATTTGTTTTCATTGTCGAGAACAAAATAATATATAAGTTGTTAAAATAATGTGAATATATTGATTATAAACATTAAAAAAAACCTATTCATTTGACAGTTATCGTAGACTTTAAGTGAAAGAAATCAAAGTTTAATTTTATTTTAGTATTTAAACGATTTCACTCTCAGAGAACTGCAAAATTACATTAGTTACGTGAATGTAAAACATCCTTTGGTTCTGATCGTAAGCACGGTTGTCCTTCTGAGCGTTCTAATTAGACTAATTTAACGAACTCGACTATTATTATGTATCAGACTAGGAAAGCATTTCTGCAATGGGTTTGTCACTACGAAATATTGTTGTAGTCTTTATATATTTTCTTGAAAAGAATTGTTATTACCTGAATTTGTACTTGTGACATAAAAAAACAGAGAAAAGTATATATTTTTGAGTTTACTTTATTATTTCAGAGAGCTGTGTCATTTCACGTAACTATTTTCCAAATGTAGTATTCGTTGACGTAAGAATGTTAAAGCGAAGCTTGATATTTTACGTATTTTTATTTAAAAAAGTAATTCCTTTAAAAAGAGAAAAAAACGAAAATGTATGTACAAAGTGTAATTAATGATGTTTTGTTTAATATCACACATTTACGAATTATTAAATTCATACGCAATAATTTTATTCGCTTCACAATGTATTAACATTACACACAGTACAGCATGATTTATAAACACTACCAACATTTTGCTTCATACTCATCATATAATGTAATTTCACGTTTTTATGCATTGTAAATATAATTCTGAAAATATCAAAGTATTATACATAATATACATTCTTTACACTTAAATACACTAAAAGAAACCGCAGTTGTAAAATCAAAAGCGTAGAACACAAAACTGTCGTTTATGTTTATACAAATTAAATAATATCATTTTCCTTTTTTACATTTCTTCGACACCTTATCATATTTTCTTAGTGAATAATAAATATGTAATAAAACAATGTTTCTTTATCAAGGCTGATTTCAAGCACATAATTTAAATAAAATCAAATCGCTGTGTCATATTTTTGCGATGTTGCATTCCTAATAATAATTGTATTTAGAACATGCACTTTCACATTTTATGCGCATAAATGTGTATATTTTTTATATTAATATTACCCTCGTGTAAAAAGCAAGCCTTCGGTATATATTACATTCTTATATAATTATTAGTAGTTCAGTATTAATATTTCGTTACGAGCTTTCTTGAAAACTAAATACATGTTTCATAGGCAGGGGCATTATAGTGTGATTTGTATCATTCTTTTTTATAAATACGGTATTATATACCTTCATTTCCATTTACTTTCGTATTTTGAGTAAAGCGTGCAGGCTATACAGAGTGCATTAGTATAAATCCAATTCTTATTTCAGCGTGTACATACAATTACCGTTAATGTATGCAAAATTATCACTGTGATACATTGCATAATTGTAGTATTGAAGATTAGCTACTAAATATATACAAATGTAAGAAACAAAATATTTTCCCACTAAATTAAAATTATCTTCAACGGTGATGAAAAAGTTGAACATAAATCTCTTGTATGTATCTGCAAAGAATTATGCATGTACACAAGTAGCATGTTTAGAATAATTCTATTAAAGTACATTCACAATTATATTTCACTTCGGATTCAATCGGAAATCCAAAAGAATATTCTTGATGTGAGATACATGTGTCATAAATAAAATAAAAGTTACTGTAAAATAAAGTAATTTAACAAATTATTTACTGTTTTATGAATAGTGTACTTTAGAATAATTACAATAATATTTAAGAGAAGATAATTAAACTTGGTTGGAGTCGTATTTTTACTAGAAATATATTTGAGAATTTCAGTTCCTTACCAGTGTTAAAATTTCATGATTGGTCAGTTTAATATTACATTATACTGGGATAAAGTTTTGTGTAAGGAATATTTTAATTAAAATTCTATTTTATATTTAGTCAACTGTATACAATCGACAATTATTATTAAAGAGATATTACTGTCATTACAAAAAGAGATCACATATTCCATATAATTTTCGTTTTTTTGTCTTGAAATTATTTACAATTTACTAAAACTTAATTTTCCACAACGAATATTTATAGAATAAAACATAAAGGAATCACATATTCAGTGTTTCGATTAAAATGTGATTTTATTTCACTACGTAGACCTTTAAAACAAACTTACCAAATTATACGTTTTTGTTTTGCTTAGAATAAAAAATAAAGTATAAAAATACACTTATATTTTTATGATTATTAGAAAATTTAAAATAACAAATAAAGTATTAACATGTAAAAAAATATGTATATCAATGTGAAAACACTAGAATAAATATTCTGTATACACTGAACTACAATTCATACATAATGAATATATGATGAATTTTTATTAATCAAAATGTTACATAAGTAAGAATCTATTATGTAGAATTATAATTTGACATGAAAATAAGCGATTTAGTAAGGTGTAAACAATATGTATTAATAAGAACTATTTTCAATTATTAAAAATACTTTTACTCAATGTCAGAATCATCTGAATTCGAAGTATTAGGTCCCTTAATTGTTTTAGGTTTTACAACCTGCGATAACCATGGTTTTTTGTTGTTTTCTGCAGATTGGGTATCTTCGTACTGTATTACACCAGAAAGTGAAATTCTGTACTCTAATGCTTCTGTCAAGAAATCGTCACGATTTCCCAATTCAGTAAATCCCACAATATAATCTTTAGTTTTACTTTTTACAATAAGGGCGATTGTGGGAATGATTTTGATTCGTAAACGTTCTGAAAGAAATTTAATTTGTATATTGCAATATTTTGCAAATAATAATTTTAAAAATTATGTTTTTTCACAGTGTATAAATAATTTATGAATTACCAGTCAAAAATGGACATCGCTCTACGTTTAGCTTACAAAATTTTGCTTCTATGTGTTTCTTAGCTAGAATCTTGAGATGATGATCCACTATTTTGCATCTGGGCGAATCATCTTTATAGAATAAACAAACTATGTTTTCAGACTTTTTTGACACGTCAAAAAACTCTTTCTCGTCGTAAACTTCCGTATATTCTCCATGGCCCTAAAATACACTTACCTGTAGTAAATTTATTCTCACAAATATGACATTACATTTTAAATAAAAAAATATTACCAATGTCAACCAATTCTGTTTTTGTTGCTGGAGCAATTTTAACTTTTTCAACCGATTTTCACGCACTTTTGCAAAATCGCTAATATCCAAATTGTCCAACTTCTGTATCTCAGCATCTAACTGTTTTTCAACGCACTGCGTTGCCTCTATTACTTTCTGCTGCAAAGCAGAGTCCATTTCTAAATAAAAATTAAATTTGTTTAGGTTAGACGTAAACTATATATAGGTATGTAAATATAAATTTATATACTTTTTTACATGTAGCACGACAGAAAGTGTAACAGAAGAATTACAGTTATGGTTAAACAATTTTATTTTATACTTAAATAAACGAATATCTTGTAAAAATTGAAGTAAACGATAATATGATGTTATATTTACTGTTTTAAGTTATTTATAGGTACCAATTATTTACGAAAATGGACAAACCTTCTGGTTCTTTCTTCGTTTGACCGTATAAGGTAATGCACGATTCCGTCAAATTCGGAGCCGGTTTAACAGAGAGAAATATATTTCTATCATTTATGCAAACTAAAATATATTTTACTCTCTTATAAATTATTTAATTTCAACTGTCAAGCTCAAAAATAATTCTCTGAAATTATTTATTTCCTTAAATTTTATGAATGTTTTAAATGTTTTGTACAAGTAAGAATTTTTTAAAGAGGCAAGGCACAGACCGCACAAACTGTTCTGAAAGTATTTACTCTTTCGTAACGTTTACAAACTGTGAGTGTGGTAATGACATAAAGGTGAGTTCACTAAATAATGATGTATTATCTGCTCACTTTAACGCCTTTACACACTAATAATATGTATCCAGTATTTTAAAGGACATATGCGACGTTAGATTATTCTCTAAAAAGAGGATTTTGTTTTGCAACCAAAATCGAGCTTTTAAATATTATTAATTAATTAAAAAGGAAATGTAATGAATTATTTAACATTATTCAATGAGATATGAGGATTTAGCATATGGTGTTTCTTTTTTTTGAAGAATAAGAAAGAGGGAAAGTAACGGTATGCAAGCATTATTCGAAATGTCTTAGATTAAATATTAAACGCTTGAAACTTAAGATATCTTAAAATTTTTTAATCAAATTTTATGTTTGCTACTTATATATTTTTGCAGATTTCCTGAAGTTTTAAGAATCTAGAAAATCTTATTCAATTTCATTATAGTCTCTGACGTTGAAGTTGGTGTCAAAATGGCTGCGTTCAGAAGACACAACCGTTGCGCAACCGTTGAATGATTTCACTAGATTTCACTCTGAACGCTACATCCTATTGGGTGAGCGGTAGCAAATCAAGTGAAATCATTCAACGGTTGCGGAACGGTTGTGTCTTCTGAACGCAGCCATTGTGTGTATTGTCTAGTATTTTCTGCTCAAGTTACATATTGTGACAGATTCATATCACAGACGAAGTATAGGAGTAGACATTTCATCCAATGTATTTTTTCTGCCCACTTTTCTGGGACGATGTCGCCCCATTTCCATTTTAGTGTCACTACCCACCGCAGATTCACCGTCCTCATAACGAAGAGGTCGCTAAAATCACAGGCTTGTGGCGAATGCGCATATAGATAATTCGTATATAGTAGTGAGGGCATCATCGACTAATGACTTCGAGCGAGTCGCTTGAACTATCAAGCTATTGATCGCTATTAATTGGATCTTGATTACTTTCTTCGCGATGCAAACCAATTATAATTTTTCCACATATTTTTTTATGCATTACCAAGAACTGTGCAAATTATTGCTTATAACCTAATTGATTTTCATAAAAAATTTGGAGCAGTTAATTTTTTAAGTGCCAATATTAAATAGCTTACAAAAAATCGAAAATTAGTAATTGTTTAAAAAAACTTGTTTACCACTTATATTTTTTAAATTCTATCTATGAACTAATACATTTCCAAAAGGTAAATACACCAATGGTGCTGAAAAGTTAATGACATAATCTATACATAACCTATAAAGCAAAATTTTAGTCGACTAAAAACTATCGACTGAATAGTCGATAGTATGTTGCGACTAAATAGTCATTAGTCGATAGTTTAATTTAGTCGATGATGCCCATCACTACATCACTAGCATATAGAAAATTAAGGATTAGGCTTAACGTATGCTTTGTGATAATGTGGATTTTCCTTTAGATTAAGATAGCGACATCTGAAGTGACGCGGGCGAGTTAGGTTTTAAGGGGGTTTTTATGTCTAGTATCCCCCACCAACAGCCCCATTAGAAAGAGAAGTAACTGCTGCAGTTATTGCCCTCTCTCTCTTATGTCGACTTCAGCCCTACCATAAAACCGCGCAGTTTATTATAAGGGTGTAACAAAATTGTTGTTCGATCCTGAAATGGGAAAATCGTGGGGCGATTTGGAACAAGATTTTCCTTAGCAAAAATATAATCTGAGACTTTGTTAACGAGATATTCTTGAAAAACCCTGATCAATCAGCATGCGAGTCTGCCGGCCGAGCTCCTGCGGTAGCGTTGGCTGGCGTTGGCTACGAGATGCGCTTGTACTGCTACTTGTATTACTACTTGTGAATCACTCGTGATTCGATCACGTTCGTTCCCAATCATGGTGATTTTTCACAGTGATTCGTGATTTCTCGTGATCGTTTCTAATTGGTGGAGAAACCTAACAGTTCTTTACACGCGACACATAATCTATATATTTTATATTAACGACATCAAAACAAAAATTCGAGTTATATCGCATAAAGTGAAGGAATAATTAGCAACAATGAGGAATAATGAATAAATTAATGATTATAAATTATAATCTACATGTTACCTAGCAAATCATTCTTTTAGAACTTCTTGTTTTTTCTACTGATTTTTACAAACACAAATAGTAATGTAATTCATCGTAAAATCATATTGAATACGTTTTTCTGTTTAAAGATCAAGGACTTACTGCTTTAGTGAGCAAATTCACTCAAGATAAAAAAATCGCAATCACGGTCGTAAATAAGTTAAATCACGACCGTGATCGTGATTCGGTAATCACTGTGATAAATCACCGTTAGTGATTTTGCACGCCATGTCCAGTGCCCATCATTACAGTTGAGTCCGCTGAACACAGCCAATAATTGCCCAAGAAAACACTGTTAGGCACAGTAATCATGTCGTTGTGGATCTGCCGTTAGTATTCCGTGAACAAGGTTTCACGTTCCTAGTTGCACTAAAGTTTCATAGTGTCGACTTGTCCAACAGTAATAAAGATGGCGGATGCAATGTACGGGTAGCTGACGTTTGCTTTGATACGCGCGTTAACAATTCCTTCGTACAGTCTAATTGACATATTGCCGTGGTGTATATATGCGTGCGTGTGCGTGTTGTGCATGGTGCGGGGTAAATTTCGACTGGCAAAATGTGTTAGAAATCCGGTTAATATGAGCGAAGGAGCGGATTCAGTGACGCCGATCTGCGAGAATTCGCTTACGACCTTGAAAGTTGATCCTGAGGAAGTCGATCCTGAGAAACTTCCTCCTCGAATAATATCGCACAACACCAGGAGGCCACGGTTCGGCATTGGCAATGCTCCGCTTTCCCCATATATATTAATCGATGGAAAAAAGTTACGGAGCTCCCTGGCTTTCTCCAAGAGACGACCTCCACGACGAGTGAGTTTTCCCGCAAATGACAATCTTTTGGTTACGGGATGCCTGGAGCCTGCCAATCCTTGGAGACTCGGTGAGAACGATCCCTCGACTCGTAAACACCTTTCACATTCATTCTTCGAACCAATGCATCTTATCAATTTACGTTTCCTTTTCATAATTGTAGTAACACGGAGCTCGTTTGGTAGAAACCTGTAGAGCTTATCATCGCCGACAATGAGTATCAGAAATCGAGGAATAATAGCTGATTTACACTCATAAATATTTCAATGTGTTTAGGAAATTTTATACAGATCTAAGTTATTAACCTAACTAAGGGAACTTGTAACTTACGTATGTAATGAAACTGAAAATCTACGTTTAGAAATATTGAAAGAATGGTAATGGAAGATATATTGTTGATTAAAAATATTGCAGATAGAACTTAAAGTTACAAATCTATATCAAATAATGTTATTCTCTTGAAAGACATGCAAAAATTTAATAAGAATCATGTTACTTAGTGATTATTCAGAAGAAACATTTGTCAATTTCATTTAGATAGTATTTAAAGACGAGAATACCACATATTATAAGAAATACAGAAATTTATGTAATTTTATTCTTTAAACAGATTCAATTTGGAGGTTATAAATCTTTGTTATATAAATTAATTTTGTTCTGTCAAAAGAATATAGAATAATTTTACGCGAACCTAAATATAAATCAATTATATTTATCTAAATTTCTTAACCCTTATGCAATATTTAGTTCAATACTCTCTATTGCATTCTTTGTTACATCATATATTCTTGTGTTCAAAGCATGTATTTCTCTATTTAATACTTTTCAATTACATTTCTACGAATAACAGAGCTTTTAAGAAAATGAGAGAATTAATAAAAAAGTATTGATTCAATTGTTTAGAATAATTTATACAAATTGATATCATACATTCTTTAAATATTATTTCAAAATTATTTTAAAGAAATTATTACTGTATGTAAATGTAAATACACAATGTAATATATCAATATGATTCCTATAATTATTTACTTGCATTGCGATAGCATATTACTAAGCAATTAGGTTTTTTATAGGTCATGTCAAATGAAGAACGTTTCAGATTTCACAATGTGTACCATGTACTAATTATAAGTTTGATGCAATATTAAACTATGTGCAATATATAATTAACTTGTAAGTTACTCAAAAGTATGATACTCTTTACAAAGTAGATTTTTTTCAACAGTACTATCAATTTTATTATTATTCGTTCTCACATATGGTTAGTTATTTAAAAGTGTTCTCTATAAATATATTAATTACTCCTGCAATAAATTCGAAGAAAAACGATCTAGGAACTTTTACATGAAAATTACAACTTTATTCACATTATTGTTTTAATACGTTCTCTGTGGAAAATATAAAAAAAAATGGAAGCTGGTTTTTAACGTATTATCGGGCGCTCGACTAAAATTAGTTGTGAAAACTTCCATAGACGGCCGGTCGTCAATAAACAGATGTTTCATACTCATGAACGGTTTGTTTATCGTAAAATTTTCGTAAACACGTATGCGACATAAACTATCTGATTTACAGTAAAAGTGTTTAATACTCAATTACAGATATATAATAATATTTTTGTAATATTTTTCCTTAAAATTGAAAACAACGACATCGGCCGTAGGTAGCTATTTGCACGAAGTGTCACCGGTCGATAGTGCGTTAAAATGAAAAAGAAACTTAGAGAAGACTGAAATACAAGTATATATAATTTTTAATACATGATTCATAATAGCATTAAAATAAAATGCAAGTAAATATTTGGCTGAATTCTTAAAAGATAGACGGGGAGTTGATTTTGTCTTGATCCTTTGCTTCCAGGGTCAAATTTATCAACTTGCTTTGTTGTGATAGTGAGGTGAACATTCAATGGAAATATAGACACTAATTAATGATCGAGTCGTTGCTACAAATGAAAAACTTGGTGAGTCACCAATGAATACCGCAGCGAACGTGTTAAGAAATAACTACGTTCATGAAAGACAAATACGAAACTGAAGCTCGGAATTCCATTTCGAATCAGTATTGCTAACAGTACATACTTACTGTTAGGCTTGAACATATATTTATTCTACAGTTTTCTAAAAACATCTCCCGTCAGTCATTTACTTCTTAATGCATCAGTGTTAAGGGTTTATTGTGTTCTAACAAAATACATCGATTAATTGTTCGCAGCCGAAAATGTGAATCGCGACGATTTAATCTCAGCGTACAAGGACTCCTGTACAAAACATAACACAGATCCTCTGGAAGTAGTTATAAGCCAACTCCAGGTAAAAATACTTTCTTTTTCTCCTAATTGTTACGTCGAATGTTGATTTAGTTGAGGGGATGAAACATGGAAGCGTACAAAACAATCCTGAACAGTTAAACTGACAAAAAAAAAAGAAAATACGATGGTTTACATGGGAGCTCAGACTTGAGACCATGCAACGGTTTCCATATGTGTATGCAAAGCTTCTATTATGAGAAATGAAATGTTGCTAATTTTAATCTGCTAATCAAGTGGAACTGCCATTAACTGTTTGGCTGCTGAAACATAAAATTGATCCACATAGGTACTTGCTCATTAATTAGTTAATTGTAATGTCATTTTTAGAAAAATACGTTCCATTCTGAATATACGAGGTTGTAACGATAAGGTTTTGGGAATAATGTTGTTTTCGTCGGCGTGGCAACAATGCGAATCAACACAGTTAAGTCCACTTTAATGGGAACAAAATTATTCTCGAAACTTTACTGTCACAGCCCGTAACGTAACACGAGTATTAAAAGAGATATCGAAAAGTGAGTATCAGAAATGTTACGATCAATGGATCCAACGTTGGAACGCGTGTGTACAGTTTCAAGGGGACCACATTGAAGGCGATGACCTCACACCTGTTTAATTTTTAAAATAAAATTCTTTAATGAAATACTCTCGAAACTTTATTGTCACACCTCGTATGTATAAGCTTCCGATGAAATTAAATGAAAATTGTCATATTTACATTCGTAAAAACATTTCAATTTGGTGTAAATTTGACGCCAACGAAACGGCAAGTCAATGATTGTGCTTACCACCGATGGGTTAGGTCGGTGACCCGGTTGATAGGAGGGTTAAATACGTCTGTTTTTTCCGAGGGTTGATGTTAATGCCCTGTGGTGCGTTAGAACTTTATTGTTCCAGTATTTAAGGTTAGACAAACTTACCCTCGGACATGTTTGGATTCTGCCATTAAAATGACACTATGGACATCCCTTTATTGGCATTGTTAAAGAGATAAGGGTGGTCACGGCGATAGCTTTGAATACATGTATAGAAACACATAAATTGAAAATATCTTATTATGCTTAACATTTAAGTCATAATGGATGATAAAAAGAATAAATGTATATAAGGACACAGTGCTCTAACTCGTCTCGTTAAGTACATCTTAATTTGAAAATGAAGCCTTTAACGCAATCTTGTTATTTTTTATTTTCATCTTAGTATAGTATGTAGAATCACCCCTTAATGTTTCTGCCACCAGTAGCCAAAAACCCTGTATGTATATGAATGTATTGAAATTGATAATAAAGGAGAATTTTCTATATAGAGTTTAGATACATCCCAAAAGCATAGCGAACAATTTAATTTAAGAGGACAGACATTGGATCCTAATGATTGTGAAGCATTGGAAGAAATTCTTAAAAGAATTCAATTCGATAAAGTCGATTTAGAGGCAACATCTTTGAATGATCAGGTACAGGTTTTATTTACAATGTGATCCTAAAGTTTCGGTCCTTTGGATGGTGTTTAATGATTATTCTATCTTGAATTACAGAGTTCTGTGATATTATTTGATATGTTAGAGTATTATGAATCCGCGAAACAGTTGATTATTTCATCCAATCAGGGCATCGGAGTACACGGATGGCATGCCTGTGCAAATTTGATAAGAAAGGTATACATAATATATTCCTTTCTAAAGAACTTTTTGTAACTGTTGTTATTCAAAATAATAAATTGTGTGTAGTATAACTTGGAGAAAAATGAGTATTAGCAGTGAGATTGAATATGCGCATTAAACTTTCTGTTTTATCCCTTTGAATACATAATTAATGGAACTATTATTTGTCCAGACCCAATGTTTAGAACATCTTGAAGCTAAGGATATAACACTTAATGAACAGTATATGAATATCTTGAGTCGTGCATTACGATTAATCTGCAACCTACACGTGCTAAAACTAGAAAATTGTGGACTTTCAGGAAGATCTACCGTCACACTAGGTATTTATTATATGTTACAGTCTGTTACTTTTATTACGATCTTATTTTAATCAAAACAATCACGAAATATTTATCATTTGTAATCGTTAGTTTCATTTCACTGTTACGATTATTTCTAGTTAATGTCCACAAATCATTAACCATATCATGCATGCAAACTCTAGATAAAAACCATAGAATAAGATTACTCAAATGTATTCCATGTTTTTATATGCACTTCAAAATTTATTATTTATAACAACCATTTGGAAAAAGGAATAACGTAAAAACTCTTCTTTCTATGTCTGTATATGTATAACTACTAAAAATAAGATCAATTAAAGTAATTGTGTTTATATTATGGTAAATATTAAATCACTTTTCGTTTTCTACTCTCTGCTTACATATAAGTTTCTAATAGTTGTTTCTTCTATTAGTTGCAGCTTTAAAAATGAATACTGGAATAAGGGAACTGTATCTAGCTGACAATGGACTTAATTTGTACGATGCAATACAACTTGGTTCTCTTCTTAGATTTAATAATCATATACAGCTACTTGACATTAGGTACATACTGTTAAATAGTACTATACAAAAAAATGAAATTTAGAGATTTTGCATTCTTCGTTACATTTCTCTTTAGCAATAATAACATTCAAGACAATGGTGTACGTGATATATTAGAAGGACTCATTAATCAAATAAATGAAGACAAGAGCGGTAAAGGATTAAGTATATTAGTATTATGGAACAATCAACTTACAAAAAAATCAGCCCCCTATTTTGCACGTATTATAGTATGTAATTTTATGTATCATTGTAATATGGTACAGTTTGAGCATGGTTTACAAATACTACATTCATACTATTCGTTTTATAGACGTTGTCTAAAACATTAGAAACATTGAATATTGGAAAAAACGTGTTGACCGATGACTTGATACTTACTATAAAAGATGCGCTGATGAAGAACCATACTCTGTTACAACTGGGAATACAATCGACTGAACTCACATGCGATGGTATTGTTGCATTATCAGAGATTATCGAAACAAATCAGATTTTGCAAGTAAGTATTAGCTTCCTCATGATATTTTATAACAAAACGAATAATTACTTTCATGTAAACGTATCTGCTTTATTGTTCTAGAGGATAGATTTACGAAACAATGACATACGAGTGACAGGATTATCAGCCCTCAATTCCGCAATGAAAAAGAATAAAAGCATCACTAAAATCGATTTTGACCTAAAGCTTAGAACGAAAGTGGTAAGTAAACAATAATTTCGACTATATTATTTAAAATCCTTCAACGTTTCATAATATTGCCTCTTTTATGTCGATAACAGGATGACTCAGACCAGACATTATACACGCAGCTCCTAACCGAGATTCAAGTCTGTTGTTCGGAAAACGAGCAGAATCGTATTATAGAAGAAACTAGCGAAGGTTCTGAAAGTTCACATCATAGCATCCTCTGTAGTACAAACTCTCGTAAAATCTCGCTTACATGTCAAACACTACCATGTTCTTTATCAACCGTGATTTCGATACGAAATAACGAACAAGGGCAAACGATGCTCGAACCGAAACGTATCAACGGAGGTCGTCTACGTTCCCCAGCCCTTAGTCCAGCCTCTTCACCTATAGCGAGCCCGATACCAAGTCCTTCACGAAGTCGATTTGTGGTGTCCCGAGTACCAGAAACATCATTATGTTCGACAGATTCCTCAGCATCTACGTCACCAGTTACTCTGTCCCTTGAATCATCTACCTATCTCGCATCTTCTGCAAGTGGGCCATCTAGATTTCGTGTCTCAGTTGTTGAATCAGCAAAAACCATTTTCCATAAACCTGTTGTCGCCTCGTCCAAGGCCGACATCACGTTTGATGTAAAGTTTAAAGTAAATAGCACGGGATCGACCGTTTCCGACGATTCTGTCGGCGTATTCGGATCAAAATTAGAAACTAGTAACGCTCAGAGCGGCGAACAGTTCCGTAACGGGTCAGGCAACGTATCTCACATAACCTCAAATAAGCTAAACGAAAGGTGTACACCGCCCACGCATGAATTTGTTACGTTAAACGATGAACAACAATCCACCGAGGCTGCTGTTAAGGCGATTAAAGTCGATCACAGCGCAGAGTCTGTTATTTTGGAAAATATGGAACATGGCAATGTACAGAATAATCACATTAATATTTCAACTAGACTGGAAAGTACTGCATCGATAAAACATATAGGATTATCAGAAAGTTATCGTAATGACGATTCGAAGGATTCAAAAACATCCATAAATGTGAACAAAGATGATAGAAATTCTACTATTATAACGAATAATAAACCGAATCCTGCAAACAAACAACAGGATATGACCAAAAGTCTACCTGGTGCTGTTTTAAACGAAAGAACAGAATCGCAAGCGCAAACAAGGCAGAAGTCCTGTATACAGAAACATACTCCTAATTTAGAAAAATTGCTTGCGCTGTTTCAACAACCTAGCTGTCTTTTTCCTACTAGCCAATTGAAGAGTAAAAGTACATTTCAGGATACTGCGAATAACGTCACGGCGACTGAAAGTAAATTTCATGGTTACTTAAATGAGGATAAAAACAGAAGCTCGCATCAGAAAACAGAAGACTCTTCGGAATCGCCAAAAAGTAAATTGACAAAATCATTCAACATTTCTCAAATTTTGAGCTTGAAAAGCTTAACGAACATGTTTCCGTCGTTTAAGTTCGATGGTAATTTAAATGTTTCTGAGCAGACCAGCAAATCGTACTCGAAGCCAGTTACTGAAGTAAATCTTCTACTTAGAGAAAAAAGCAGAAATGCTGACTACAGCAATGACAATAAGCAACTTAAAGTACACGTAAAAGGGCAAGAAATTAATCTTTTCACTGTGGGTAATCGATTGGTACCCGAAGAAATACAATCAAAAAGCTATGTTGAACTTATTAAGAAAAACTTTCTATTACCTGAACATTATATGGTTTCAAATATAGGGATCGATAACTGTTTAAAGATTGCTAATAATAATCTATTAACGCGTATTTCCGAGAATAAATTGATCGTACCTTTATCGAAATTTGTAAATAGATACAAGTGTCCTGTTTTAAAAGCAACTATTAGCAATGTAAAAATTGAAGATATAGAGAAAGTACTGAGCAAGGTAGATTCCATAATGGTAAAAACAACGTGTGATAAAACTTTAACGGACAGTATTAATTTTACTAGTGATAGTAGCTCCTTGTCTTGTAATATAATGTATGATATAACGAATATAAACGATACGTTCGCTGTAAATATGTCTGACAAACTGCACAATTTAGTAATATTAAACTTAAACGCGAGACGTGATTTAAAAGATAATTTTGTTTTTAACATAGACAATAAGCAGAACAATTTGGCATGTTTCATGTGTAAAACGGAGCGCGGTTATAATATAAGTAATGAATCATTTGCATATCAGGATGCATTCGAGGTAAACTTAGGTAGAAATTGTTTAAACAATGAAGTTACCAAATGTATTGATACCAACTATCGTAAGGAAGCGTGTACAAATGTTTATAATACACCAAGCAATGAAGTGAAAGGAAGAGATGTTTGCCGTGTAAATAATAGTACGGACTGGCAAAGTATTTCAGTGAGTGGAAAATCAAAAGCAAGAATATCTAAGAAGAATTATATGTACGAAGATATTAACCTTGATTCTAGCGGTGTTAGTGCAGATTCAAGTACGTCAAGTGATTACAAAGAAGAGGTTATAAGTACACAAAGAGTACAGAAAGTAATGAAACCGTTTGATACAACGGATAAGAAATATTTGGAGTTATACGACGATAATGTTTTCATGGAAGATAGCATGAGTAGTATGCTTGAAAAGACAGACGTTATGCCTGTATCTAGAACGTGTTCTTGTATAGCAGACTTCGACAAGTCCATTCCCAAAGATCTTATATTTTATATAGCTGACATTTCTTCTCTTGATGAGAGTTCCATAGAAGAGAAAGATGAAGAAGAAGAAGAGATTTCACCAGAAACTATTCCCAACGAGTGGTCAAATGATGCTGTTCAACCGAAGAGCTCGTTCTACAATCTATCCCAAAGTAACAGAACCATGAATCTCATAATCGAAGAGCCAGAGAATATTTGTAGCACCAACGAAGTTTCCAAGATTGAGGAAAAGAACTTTTCTACAAGCCATAATGTGCAGGACAGCACGCATTTTCCTAGCAAGGAAGAATTCCAAGAAAGCAACGAGTCTGGAATCAATGAGTCTGAATGTTCCTCTATATGTACAAAAGTTTACTCCATTGCCCATCCAAAAAAAGATGTGTCTCTGCTGAAGAAGAGTAGTGATATACGTGGAAACACTTTGGAGAATATATACATGTTCACAAAATTTGGATCGAATATTGCTCAACGTGTGAAATTTACAAATCCGAATGCGATTAGTGATATGACCCAGAAATACCTTAATACAATTAAATGTGCAGTTGCCACGACCATGTGTTCAAAGGCTGCGGCGAACACAAGGAGTAATATGAGAGTCGAAGTGATTTCTGATGAGAGTACTACCGTTGCCGAGTCTTCGTCGGTAATTCATGCGACAAGGTGAGTAAAGTACGTTTTGAGGATTGACGAAAATCGCGAATTTGTATCTTACTAGAGATATTTTAAAAGGAAGGACGAATGTCTCTGTTCCGTTTATTTCTTTGTATTTCAATACACGTACATGATTTTGTTCTATCAAATATTTCATTCGCATACTGAGAAGTGATGAGGAACATCTATCAAAGCTTTTGCTGAAATTTTATATAAAAACAATTGGCAAACCCTTTGTTTCTATTACAACTGTGCGATTTTACATATAATATGATATAATCTTAGAAACGAATACCAAAAACTTTCTCCATCGAGTCACGTACTGATTGAACATTTTATATATTAGAAGTTCATTTGATTTTAGGAAGTAAGACTTTTTAAATATGGAAATATATTATTGACCATGCATTACTATTTTATTATATTATAATACTATTATGTATTGAATACATCCTTGTTCTAAACTGACTGTTTTATAAAATTTATAAATTTTATTAAGGTAATGCAAATTATAATTTTATTAAGAAAAAATAATTTAAAATTACTTGTTGATATGTAAATATATCTTGTTATATGGAAAATTATTCTATTTGTAAAATTCATTGTACAATTGTAAAATACATGTTACGTACTGCTTTATTTTGCCATTGCTATGGATGATAAACTGGGAATTGTTAATCGTTGAGTTGTAAATAATATGTACAAATTCTTCTTCCATCATATAATTATATGGTTTTATAATATAACACGACATATTGTTTTGTAAAAACAATTTGCATCGGTTAAGGCAAAATATAATTATGTACTGTAATAAACCAAAATTCGTACAAATAATTTCTATCAAGTTAAAATTTCATTTGTAAAACTATACTTCTATTCATGCTGATTTCAACATTATCTTATGTCTCGCTTGCAAATATTATAATAACTTTTGTTTAACTAATGAAGAAATCATATTAATTCTCCTCTAAAAAATGCCTTAGCTTTCCATCGCACTTATATTAAATTCCTTTGCTAATATGAATTATAACTCTCTTTCTCCAAATAATACTATATTTCTTTAACACTTTAACATGTACAAATAATCTATTTCTTAGATAGAGATTTAGTATGATTTTAGTTTAAACAAGTGTCTCTATATCTGGATTGTTTTCTTCAATTTGTATTTATATAAATTTATGATATATATTATTTGGTAATTAGTACAGTAAAGTAATGTAATGTTATTTTCACTAACAGGGTGATATTACTCGCTTTTGTTAAAATTTCTTACATAAAAAATTCTAATTTCTTTCCTCCTCGTAATTAAAATCACAATACTTTGCGTGATTGTATTTTATTCTTATATATATGGTGTATCTTGACAGTAAAGACAATCCGAAAAAGCAAAGAAATATAAAATGAATTACATCAAAAGCACCAAACTATTGTATTTGTTTCTGACTTTACTGTACTGAAATACTAACTATTGTTATCGATTATGAATCTAACATTTGCTTCATTAAAACATATTCGATCATGCAATAAAACTTGTTGATATGGTTTTTGTAGCACAAAATAAAACAGGAAATACGGAGGACGAAGACGAGGAAATGGAAGATATGGAAATAGAAGGAACAAGATATGCTAGAGAAAATAATAATTTATATGATTTAGATGATGAAATTGATGAAATCGATGAACTTGAAGAATTGACAATGGATCTTGAACCACAATACCAACGGTATGCTAGGTGGAAAATTTGAAAGAACACGCTATTTAGTAGTTGTTAATAAGTGGGTGTTATTTATGTGAAATAGAAAGAAACAAAATTGTTCCGTGGAAATTGTATCGTGAAGGGTAATGGTACAGATGAATATTAACAAAGTTTTTGTACATAAATATAGAATGATCTATTTAATATGATCAGTTTAAATATCTCTGTTGTTTCTGCTAATTGGAAAGAGGGTAAAAAGTAACGGTTGCCTGCCTCAAAGGAAATAATATATTATTCATTCGAGTCACATTTTTTCAAGCGTATAGTTTTAATAAAATTCATAAGTTTTCCTAAATGAAATCCATATTTTTGTAACTGCAAACAGGAAACAAGTTCAAACACACATATGCCTTTTGCGATTTTATTAAAAAAAAGATAAAAAAAACTGTAAATGAGTTATATTTCAAGATTTCAATTGGCAAGGACGAAAGCAAAAGAGATATAATGTATGATCTAATATGCATCTATGTCTATTAGCAAAAATTTTAGTAGATAATTGATTCTAGTCTAAAACTCTATTGATGATCTATCATAAACCATATTGCGAACTCAAAATACAGACATCACACCAAAAAAAAAAAAGCCGCGAGAATTTAATGATTTATGATATAAAATATAAAATTGAATTTGAAAATGTGGATCGAACCGACGATTATTCAAATGTGTGTTAATGATAAATTTAGCGTTCAAACTAAATTGTAAACAACGCGAGATACGCGTAAATTTAGAAATGAATTACCATGTGGTGTACACACGTGTCTGTACGCATATATAGTTAAATGTATAAGTTAATATATACCCAGGACATCACAAAAAGAGTCGTTTTAAAAGTAAAGAAAACAGATCGAAGTCTATTTATCAGTAAATAATAAAAATGTTATATTAAAGCTGTTGTGTTTAACATCAGATTGTTATTTATTAATTGCGAACAATTTTAACATTGACATAATATATTTTTATTACATGTGCATGGATATAATATAGCAAGAAGTGTTTTACTTAATTGTAAGTTATATACTTTTAGACTTGAGTCTTTGCCACTCGAAGATGTATACTTGTTACGCATTCATGAAGTTTCTTTAATTACATAATGAATGTCATGTTATAGAATATAGAATATTAAAGAATCATTGTTAAGGGAATAAGAATGAAATTTGAACATGATTGGAATGAGATTTTATCTGAATTTATATTTTTTATATATTCTCTTGCGAAGTTGTAATTGACTGATGTAATTTGTTTCCTTTAACGTAATAATTATTCGTCGATGTAATTGTCAAGAGGTTAACGGTAGTGAACGGTAGTCATATAAAATAAAGTTATTTGTGTCCCGATTGTGTTTTGTACACGATCGTAGTCTTATGAAACTTAAATGTTGTTACATAGTAGACGAGACGGTGAAGAAGGTTCTAGCTGATATGGAATTGCAAAGTATTATTTTGTAATAATGATAATTGTGTAGATGTAAATGTAGTACGAGAATTATATATAATTATTAATTCTGTCTCCTGCTGTAATATTTGTACTATTTGTGAATGTTGCAAGAGATGGAACGATTTTAAAGTTCAAAAGACAGTTGTGTACAACTGGTATGTGTATTTTTCTGGAAAATTGTAAATTTCTTTAAGAATTTGTAAATTTCCAATGTTACTTTTTAATTTACGAATACTATAAATTGGCTGCTATAATTTCTTTGTATATATATACATAAATACACACATACAATCACACACATAATGCATATATTTATGTAAATATATGATATATGTGTGCGCGCGCGCTACTTATAGATTAAGTTTACAAATATAGCCACACGACTTATGTGAAGGTACATTTTGAACATATAATTCTGTACAATTTGTATATTGAAAAGGAATTGAATTTATTAAGAATTTTATCAAGTCAAGGGAATAAAAGAATAAAGATGGTTTATTGATACATTGTACTTCATTAATATATATGTTAAATATACTAATTAATACATATTTCTATTTAAAAGAAAATTATTTTTCATAGTATAGTATATGTTATTTTGGGAACTACAATAATTACAAATGATTCGTTTTATCTCTGTAATTTTACGTATAATATAGGTTCGTCATTCTTGATTTTCATTTTACAAGGGATATTCGCGAAGTGATACACGTCGATGTTTCTGCAATTTTGCTCAATTAGAAACAATAAATAGTGTTGCGTATTCGCAACTGGTAATATTTAGAATCAAGCGCCACCTGTTCAGAATTTTAAGAATAAGTACATGTAACTACACTGTCATCTGTAGGCGCAGATTCAAATTAGGCGCGGCAAATATGAATTGTACAACAGCGTAACTGAGGCAATGAATCAGGGTATTTATAACTAATTATTGATTAAATGTCAAAATGATAACATTGATGACTAGAAATTACTCGTATTTGATATTTACTTTTGGTTGTCATGAGGAAACATTGCCAAGGTATTAAAAACGCTCGTTCCCCGTAATGATTAGACCCAATAGGATTAAAGTAAAATTATTTATTAATTCCTAATTGGATGTTAAATAATTGTATTTGTTAAAAGCTGAAGGTACACTTTCTTCTTGTTCAACGAAGATTTTATTGCCATTTTGACTGCTTCTTAATCGAGTACTCAAACTGTTCGGACGTACTTTTCTAAATAGCAGAAAAGCACAAATAACTTTAATTTATAGTTAATTCGAGTTTATTGTTCATTATATAATTTTGTTAACAAGTTCAAATACAAGTTCCTGAGTTTTATTTCATTTATCGAGTATTTATTGGAGTTAATTCGAGAAGAGCGTATCAGCGCTCCACGGGGACCCGAACCCTGCCTAAATTCTCAATTATAAAATCTTTATTAAACGGCCACGCAACAATAGCAAAATAATACCACCGACTAGGTATAGAATAGACCTATCATCCAATGCTTTTTTCTGTCCCACGTTCATAGGGCTACGTAGCCCTGTTACCATTTTAGTGTCAATACCCGACGTTACCGATAAAGCATGAATTCTGAGTATTATTAGCACAAATGAAGTGTTATATATTCCATTCATATTACGTGTATCTATATGATTTCACGAGAATAAAAATATCCGATGCTTCAGTTTAAGGTTAAGGGATAAATATGACAGTCATGAAACATGAAACCGAAAAGTATATATTTTTTCACTTAACTACAAGACAATTTATTCTAAACGCATCGTTAATGGACATTTTACTAATGTTACTTTTTACATGTTCTTGTTTTATTCGTTTTTATATCTTGCTTTACATTTGTATATTTGTAACAGATAAATTCAGAATAGATGTAGTTTCATAAATAATTTATTAAATCTACCTTTTGGCCGGCGGCTTACAATTTCCCTTGCGGGAATGTCTTACCGTAATGAGCGGCTCATTATGAGCCATCTCGTAACCGTGGGATTCCGGGAATCGGGTGACGTTACGGCGTGTGAGCGAGAGCGATAGAGCGAGGCGCGGTATCGGTGCTCTCCGTCGGTGTCGACGCGTACCGAACGAGGCCGAAGATGGTCGCAGCGGGCGAAAGGGAGAGAGCGAGAGCGATAGAGCGAGCCGCAGTATCGGTGCTCTCCGTCGGTGTGATGCGTGCTAAGGAATTCAGGGTTCTATGAGGGTAGGTGTGCGAGTGAGAGAGTACGGTAGAGCGTGCCGCGGTATCGGTGCTCTCCGTCGGTCCAACGCGCTAGTGACGTTGTGTAGCCGGCCGTACCATCTGGTGTTTGGGTCGTTCAAGGAGGAAGGTCGTTCAAGCCGGCAAAAACAATTCAACAGGAACAAACCTGCGTACGCCTAATACGTAACGGCGTTAGCTTCCTCTCTTTCTCGTGAGCCGTCGCGGAGGGTGGGCGCGCGTCTCATACTCGTCCTTTCTCTTGTTACTAACCCATTGTTTGTTGCAGGCATTCTACAACCATCAATTTATTTACTGTGCATATT